GGGTGTCCGAATTAACGACTTTTGACTGTATTAACATCTGCGAGTCGGTTCAAGCATCAAAGTCGGATTAATTGCAATATATTCCCCTCCCCCATGGCCAGATACTTGCTAGATAAGCATTTATCCGATTGCCACACACATCGGTTATTTAGCCTTTCATGTCTGAAGTCGTATAAACAACATATTAAAAGCAAAAAGAGAAGCAAATTGGAAGGAATAGTTATGGAATGGATGTTTTCGTGCAAAATAGTAGGAACAGAGCACACCTGGTAGGATCTGGATTGTGATACATAACACAGCAAATGAAACCACACCACACATGAAAGTCTCCAATTTCTTATACTCCATATTTTTTTTAGGTGAAAATCTGGGCCATTATTATTGGCTTCAAAGTTTATAAGTTGCAAATTGGACTTTTGAAACAGGTTTGGTCAGAACTAGACTGATTCTAACTGGTACAGTCAAAAGTCGTTAATCCGGACTCGTCAGGACTTCGGCGATTCCGGATTATCGATTTTTCCGGATTATAGATCATCAGTTTAAATCTGGTAAAATGGCATGCAGAAATTATAAAATTAAAAATATGAAACCGTAATTTACGAAATAAAGAACAATTATGATCAGATCAAAATTTACAACAAAAAAAAAAAAAAAAAAAGAGGTATCAAAATTTACAAAAAAAAAAAGCTTAATATTTATTTGTTTACTTTATTAAACATTTCTTTCAATGTAAGTTGTTTAAGTTGCTTCGTTTTTTATGTGATAATACATTCTCTTTAATTCTATAAACAGACATAATTTCGTGTTCAGTTACAAAGTTCCGCTGTTCAAGTCCTATAATTGCTGTGTCGAGAATACCGACTAATTTGTCAATCGAAATTTTTTCGTTTTCAATAACCTCTATGACTTTCTTCGCTATCCGAAGCGAATTATAATGACGAGGCATTTGATTTAAATCATATCAAAGACACATCAAGATGAAATACTACATTGAGTAAGCAATTATAAGCCAAATAAAATAAAAACATCTGCTCTTAAGATAAGGATAGTGCTGGATCAACTTCCAATTCATTGCACGCCGCCCCGGTGTTAAAGATAAACAATGTTTAGATAAACAAATGTTAAAGTTTACATAAACAAAGGATATGCCTTTATCCATTTTTTGCAGCAATTCTACTTTTTGTTTAATGGACTCCGAAAGATACTTTCGCTTTGTATATCCTTTACATATTAGTAAATATATATGGGAAATTCTATTTGACATAATCGAAAGTTCAAGCTTACTTTTATAAAATTGCTCTAACAGTCTGCAAAAAATAATAATCCGGATCCAATTCGAAGATTAAGGAACAACGCAATTTGCAACATTAACTGAAATAGATAATTAGATAATTTTAGCTTAGCTTATCCCGTCCGTTATACATTAAACGCGCATTCGTAAACGTATTTTGCGCACGCGCACAAGCAAATTCGCAGCGGTAAAGGTCTTACGCGCATGCGCAGAAAGTTTGTAGCTTTGAGGTCCGGATTATAGATCATTCCGGATTATGGGTGTCCGAATTAACGACTTTTGACTGTATTTGGAAACTTTTCCATGCAGATCATCTTACGTTCATATTCGCAAACACAACAACTCAAGTTGCAGATTTTGCAAAGGTTGAAAAGTTTTAAAAAGAAATCTAAAATATGGTGTTTTTTGAATAGAGAACAGGGGACAAGCAGACCATGCTTCTTCTGTTTAGCCTAGCAGTGACAGAGCAATAAAATTCCTGAACACTCGTAGTTTGACTCCATTTAAAATCCTGTCAAATGGGCTGGTTGCATGAGATGTTCATGCTTTTCCAAATATGTTACATACAAGTCATTTCCAAATAATACAAGTCAGTTTTCCTTAATCAAGCTTCCTCAAATGCATGTCTTCCATTAGGCAGAGGGCCCTCATGTGCTTTCCAGAAGCTAGATAAATTCCCGCAATTAAATAACAATTTTGAGCATTGTTTTGTTACAAGTAAATCCTGAAAATTTTAGAAAAATTAACTAAATTTAATTTTAGCTCTGAAACGTGCAGTGATAAAAAACAACTCATACTCAATATTCAATAAGGATATTTGCAAAGAGGAGAGAAATACTTCTACTATAGACGCATAAGTTTTTTTTTTTTATTATTATTTATTATTATTATTTTTTTTAAATGTGTGCATATGTCTTAATTGTCAAATAAATTTGCTCTTAATGGAAAAGGGAAAGACTTTTTTGGGGGGATACTTAAGTTTCTTAAATGAATTTTAACATTTGTTTGACCTTAAACTAATTGAAAAGTGGCATTAAATATTTTATTATTACTTAGTATTTTTATCATGCAATACATAAGCAAATAATTACTTAAATTTTACACATAAAATTGAATACAGTATTCAAATTTTATGATAAAATTGAAAAATTTTTAAAACTTTGCTAGCTACATATATTCAAAAAACAAGCACTCTGTTAAGAAATGTTATATGCATATTACCTTTGAATAATTAACCTTTAACTTTCTGCAGTGTTACTAAAATAATCTTTATAAAAGCAAATGCAAGAAAAGTAGATGTCCTGTCCCACTACTGCTACTGTGAAATATTGTACATAACAGATCAGTAAAGATAACAATAAATGCCAGAATTACTTGGTGATATGCTTAATATTTCTTCCCTCCTTTCTGCATGCCTTTGTGGTGTAATTGGAAGCATACTCGATGTTTATTTGAGAGGTGCAGGGTTTGAGTCCCAGCGAGGGCAATGCACATTTTTCAAGTTTCCTGTATCAATATAACATAAGGACTCCACATACTCGTAATACATTAGCAATAAAATGTCACTTTTTTTTTTGGCTAAATGTAAATAGACATGAAAACAAAAATAATAACCAACATCACTTTTTCAAAATCATATTTAATATTAACAAGCATACATGATATGACATTACCTGCTAAATTCTGAATATAGTTTGGATATGTAATATATAATATTTTAAGTGAACAAACAAACTAACTATAACCCCAATAATTATCTATTACTCCTAATCAAACTATTATACGAGTAAGTATATATTTAATATAAATAAACATTAGCATTAAAATATTTGAGGAAATCTAACAAAATATTTTTTTCCAGGGCTGCTGAAGTCATGGAAGGGACAACATTGCAAATTTTTGAGAATGATTACATGCATTGGTTAATTCCAGTGAGATAAACTGCCTTTACATTTTAAATGGTCATGATTATTACAGCTAACAAACATTGGAAAAATAATGAATGATGGAAACTGTAATGGATCCTCTTTTTTTTTTAAATAATACATAGCTGACTACACAGTGAAAGATAATTAGGGAAAATAAAATGCTTCAGAATGCATATATTATTTTATGGTGTAATTATTGTATTTTATTTGAATAAAAAGTGCATTTTTAGATCCTGCAGTATATTTAAACAGATTTTACACATACACTAATTTACAAAATAAAACCATTTATATTAAAAAATTAATAGATTTTATAAAGCTTAAATGTGAAAACTTTTGGATCAAATAAAAAAGGGGAGAATAAATGAAATTTTTTGTTATTGTTAATGAATTTGTGAGCAAGTAAAAAAAATTTTTAATTAAAAAATGTAAAATCCTTAGTTTACTGTATTTAATAACTACTGTTTTTGATAAAAAGTTAAATTTCACTTTGCATTTCATAACCATTGCTATAACCTATTGATTCTTATTTCTTATTATTGTGTTTACAGATTTTAGATACCATCTGAAAAAACATGTTAAAAGTAAAGAAGAAAATAAATTATCAACTCTTGTGCAAATAAAATTCAGCCACATATACAAAATTTCATGGTTTCCTAATATTACACTTGAAATAGCCAAATGCAAATGAATAGAATTCTTGATATTATTTTAAATGTAATAGATATATATAAATGATTACTTTAAACATAAATTTAATTTTTTTGTGATAATAATAATAAAACAGTATTAAAAATATGCATGTAATTATATCTAAATATGAACATTAATGTAATTTCTACTAAAATTTCAAAATTCGAATTTGTTACAAAAACATACATTATTTGTAAGAAAATTTACGAAGTATATTAAAAAAGTTCCCCATTTTTTTTGTTACACAATTTATGATAAACAATAAAATATAGCTTTTGAAGAAAATATATAATCTATAAATTGAAAATTAAAATCTTCCATTTAAAAGAGTTAAAAACAGAAACTTTCACTACCACTTAATTCAACATAAAATGTCATACAAGCTGCTTTCAAATAAATATCAATAACTTAAAAATAGTAAAATGAACATTTAGACTAAAATATCATAAACCAGAACTTTGTTCATTTGACTAGACTATGTAAAGCATAAGTTTAAGTTACTACACATCATTTCAAACTCATTTAAAAATGTCACTTAAACTTTCGGATACGATAAGTTAAAAAAATTCTCATTCGAAATAAAAATAATAATCCACTGCTTTATTTTGGGGTAACTGAGTTCATCACAAATAATGATTTTATTTCATAAAAGAACTGGAAAATGAAGTTCAATAGATAGCCCATGCAAACAAGACTATTAAAATTATACTGAAACAAAAACACATATTTATATGGAATAAAAGAAATTAGTTTTAAAGACACACAAACGTGAGGTAATCAGGAGAGGTGGGAAAGGACTTTGCTTAGTGTTCGCAACTTTGTCCACCATTCTTGTTTTGGAAGTTTATGGCTGAAAAAAAGTTATAAAAGACTGATGAATGACTCCATACAAGATTCTTAGAATTATAAATATAGAAAGAGAATATGATAAAAATAATACTTTATAATGCAGCAAGGGAAAGAATTAAGTAAATAAATTTTATGACATTTAAAACCTACTTTACTAAAATTTTATATAATAATATATTAAATTTATAATGATTATATATATATAATACAATTCAATATAATCTTTTTAATTATTACATTTTGCCATTACTTCATAAAGAAAGAAATATATATTTCACACTTTTGCCACATATATTTATAAACATATATACAAGCAACATTTGTTAATTTCCTATCCTAGTAAATATATTTTGTTTCAAGAATTTAAGCAAAATGTTATTTCAAAAGCAAGCTGCAGTCAAGAGAGGGGGGAAAAAAAGAGCTCTAGAAAAAGAAAAAAGGATCACAGAAGGACAGGGTGTGATGAACTCTCTTTAAAGTGAGCAAGTGAGATTTCATCTTCATTTAATACAAGTGATCATGTACTTTAAACATTATTATCACAGTTTGTACAGAGGACAGACAACTCTCACTATTGACACTATTGACAATATACTTATAACAACAGATGTAAATACTGAATAATATTTTTCATGTAAAATTTACAAAAATGTGACTACATGTATACAAGTTCCACATTCTAAACATCTGAATACCCAGAAGGCAAACAGGTAAAATAAAAATCATTTGTTTGATATATTTGAAGCAACATTCATTGCTTTAAATTTATCACAGAATCAATTTTGTTTGGCTTCTATCAAACTGGTAATTTTTATACAAGTGCAATAATTTTAAAAGCAAATAATATAATTATAATATTGAATGAAACTTGGAGTTGCACAGTAAAACTATTACATATAGTTAATTCTGCATTTTATTTAAAGAATTTATGGAAATTACTTGTATGTAATAATACATAGGCAAATAATGGGATAATAAATTTAACAATCCACAGGATTAAAATAGAAAAAATAAAGGAGGAACTTTGACAACAAATTTCAACAATCTTACATTGTTAAGTCCATAATACTGTCAAAAATACTTTTATGCTTATAACATAAACAAACAAACAAAAAAATTAAAAGGTGGAATATTTCTCAACAATCGCTAATCATCAACAAAAATCATAATGAAATTTTTTTAAATCATGCTCTGTTTTGAAAAGAATTAAAAAACAGAGATGAAAAATACAGTTACAATCTTACAAATATTAATTAGAAAATTAGACATTTGTTGAAAGTAATAACATGAAGTATTTGCAAATAAACTAACTGCAGATGATTAAAACCATACACAACATTTAGCAATTATATTAGACACATGAGTATGTAGAAAAAAAACAAGGATTAAGAATCCCAACGTGAACACAGTTTATTGGTTAGCTGCAACCTCATCAACATGCTCTACGATTGGCTTCTCAACATCTGCCAATGATGGGGTGATGCCAGATTTGACAAGATAACTCACAGGGGTTCCTAGAGCACGTAACAAAGCTCTTAAATGTAGCCACCACTGATGTTTGGGAATACGACACCTAAAAAAAAGGTCCTTTCAAAATCTATACACAATGGTACACACCCTTTCCACTGATTTTACAAGACAGGTGATAATATAAACATAGGTGTCTAGTTACTAAACTATAACAATTACATATAGGAAATTACTGGAAAAATAATACATTAAAACCTATTACTATTCTATAGTAATATAAGGAAAAAACTAGCAATTTTTCAAACACAAAGAATTAAATTTGGTTTTCCTTCAACAACAATTTAAAAAAGTAATTGCATTTCAAAGAACCATAAGATTTTAAAGAAAAAGATAACTACTATTATCACAAGCATCTTTTGCATGCAAATAAAATCTGTTATGAAATACATAGCTTGCTAAGCAATGTGATTGTTATGCAAATTTTTAAGGCAAATAAAATAAAAAAAAGTTATTTAACAGTGTACAATAAGTTAACTAAGAATTTATAACTACAGGATTAAAAAAGTAATACAAAATATATTTATTTGAATTTATTTAAAAAAGAAAAGACCGTTGCCAAGCCCACTGACAATTCATCACTCATTTCATAAGTAATATACTTTTCAAATCTCAGTAATTGATTATGTCTCACTTTTCTCCAAGCAAAAATTTAATAAACTAATTCATGATGATATATGATGATGATTCATGATGATGTAAGATTTTTGAAAAGTTCAAACTACTTACCACATAAAATGCACAAAAATGTTTTTTAAATTGTTAAAAACAATAAAATGCAGATAAATGCAATAAATCAGATTATGTTTTAATAGCTTTTAACTAATTTTGATTACTTTTTAGACTATCATAACTGCCAACCTCAAAATATGAAAAACTGAGAGTTTTTTTAGATTTTTTCATATTGTGTGGTGATATCCTTTCAAAAGAACTCTAAAGTGACTTAAATTCACTTTATAAGGAATACTCAAGTTATTGAATTATTTACAGTATGATTCTAATGTAAAATATATTAATATTTAACAAGATACCCTAAACTTTTAAGTTCTTTGGCTAATTCCATTTAGTAGTTTTCTTACACTTTTATGCTGAGAAAATATCGAGCAGGGAAGGAAAGTTTTTACTTTTAATTAACATAAAAGTAAAATTAATAACTAACATACATATTGTTACATGGATAAACTTATAAATGTACCATATACTGATGTAAAACAAAATTAAATACGAACCAAACATTGCCTGAATCTTCATAAAATGTTCTACAGATGTATATTATTGAATAAGACAGTTCAAATCAAATAAAATTAAATAAGAAAAATTATGCTGAAAATTAACAGGTTGGAAAAAGGAGTTAGCACAATTTCAGTTTCATTAATTCAATAAATTTCATTATTATGCAATTTATCAAATTTTCCTTAGTAAGAGCTAAAAAAACTAAAAATGTGAGATTCAGTGACCTAACCGGGAGATAGGGGTATGTATTAAAAAATCTGGCAGTTATGTATTGTAACAAACCAGACTAAAATGTTTCAGGAAAAACTAGAATATTATAAACTTAATATTTGAATTTTTTTAAACAGTTTTTAATAAAATTTGTCTATGTGAGAAAAGCGGATTAAAAAATTCTTTAAAATAGGAACACATAAACTGAAGTTTAAAAAATTACATTGCATATGAATACATCAAAATGATAAATAAAAACCTTGGTTATGTAAATTTTCTTCATTCAAAGTGCTGAATTTGGTATTAGCTTAATGTATTTAAGCCTGTTAGGCTGGATGCAGAGTTTTTGTGTGTTCCCCACATGATATTCAAGATGTCTATTAGAAAGTCCTTCAGTCAGATAACCTGCTTATATTGCCCAAAACATGATCCACAGCATCCTAGGGTAATCTGGATATTTTTTTATCAAGCTGTGTGCTTTTGATTACTAAATTACAAAGAGATTTTTCTAATTGTATCCAAACACTGCTTGCATGCGTTAGCTAATAGACTATTTTCTCAGGAATATATGTGAGCTAGCAATGGAAGAAAATTTTAATAACAACATTTGAAAGTTTCCTAAAAATCAGACATCCTGAAAAACCTCACAGTTTACAAGATACAGACTAATGGATTTTTTATAGAAACTGCATCAAAAATATTATATAAAAAAACTATAGCAAGGTCAACAACATTCAGCACTTAAAATACAACATTATTTTACATCACAGCTATAATAATATGACTGAATATGCTTTAGATATTTCATATGTTTCAAATACAACTGTTTGTGACATGAAAACCCATACTGAAATTCTGCATGAGAATTAAAATTGCTTCAAGAATGCTCAAATTTTCTTTTTTCTTTTTTCTTTTTTTTTTTTTTTTTTTTTTACAATGATGCAAATTAAAAATAACTATAATAAATGCCAAATGTCTTCTGTTATATAATTTTTACATTTTGAATACTTTAAGAGGGAAAGTTTAAATACTTATTTGAAATTAATAATATCCAGAAAGGAATATTTTTTTTCTGTGAAAGTTCTAATCAAGCTGCTATTATATTTTGTGGTACTAATTTAAAATTCACTTGATTCTAAATACTAAAAAAAGGAACATTTCATGAAAGGGTCAATTCTTATTTTCATTTGCTTTCACCAAACGGTGGTTAATTTAATAAATAAAAGAACCAAGATCAGATATTTAGTTTTGCAATAGAAGCATCTGTTATCAATTAAACTTTTGTTGTAAATATTCATAAAAGTTTTGAATGTTAAACCTGTTAATCACTAGTAACTTATAGGCTGACTGTCACATATGTGGGACAATGCTGTAAATTAAGATTATCTGTAAAGAATTAAAGTGAAGAACCATGGTGACCATCAAAGCCACTGATCACCAGTGATCTACAGTTTGATATTCATTTGAACTAAGGAGTCCAATCAATTAAAATAGTGTACTTACTGCTTTTGAATTGCCAGCTTATAAATTAAAATTATAAATTTAAAAAATAAATTAAATGTCTTGTGGAACTGCAATTCTTTCCAAGTAGCACGCATGAGGAATACTTGGCAAGATAATGCAATGCAATGTAAAAATCTGAAAATTTTAGAAAGATTTTACTAAAAACATTTATAATATCAAAAATTAAAAAGAAAATATTATAATCATCAAAATTGCTGGTTACTAGTAACCTATGGATTGATGTTTACTGGCTGGGAAGAGGAATGATGTAAATTTTGATAAAATTCTGAAAATAAAAACTGAATTAAACTGAAAGACACTGGTTTTTGTCATGGTCAATGGGTCCTGGTGACCTACATGTTGAAGGCCACAAGTGAGGTGGTGCAGCATGGACTTTTGTATCTGCTCATGAAGACCTGTATATCTTCTGTAAACTTAATTTGTATAACTACTACTTTGAGTTTCTGGTTTTATAAACTTTCATTTATTACAATGATAATTACATTATTAAAGAAGTACAAACAAAAATTATTTTAAATTATAATCTACTATATACCAAGTGACAAGAAATTCCATGATTGGATAAAGGTGGTAATGCTGCTCGGGGTTAAAAGAAAATTAAAGCAATGGCTACTGGTGGTTATCAAGGCTGTTGATCACTGATGAACAATAGCTTGGTCACTAATGAACTTCTTTTCTTAATAAAGTAGTCAGAGATTAATATTCAAATTATTAACTAATAAAGATGTAGAAGGTACGTGATATAAAACTATAATATTTTTATTTTGAAAAAATCTATGGAAAAAACACCTAGATAGTAATTATTTTAATGGCCCATATTTTTGTTTGGTTTAATGAAAATTTAAAGGAAAATTAGAAATTCTAAAGTGTTTTCAAAACCATAAATATTTAAAATATTTTTCAAAATTGGATAGAAAAATAAATATATATTCAGTTTAAAACAAATTAAAACTTACTTGAAATCTGTTTCTTGCCTTAAATTCTGCACTGGTGAAAAATTATACTGTCTTTTAATTAAACCAAGCAAAACTGCACTTTCTGGATTGCTACATACTACTGAATTATCTGGCTGCACATTTGTTTCTACTTGCTTTATAAGCCAATCTGCAGCCTTTGCAGCCAGCTTAGTTCCAAAGTTTCGATCAAATGGTGAAGGGCAGCCACCCTACGAATTTTGAAATTAAATTTAATACTTAATATATACAAATTTTAAAGACATTAAAAGCTCAAAAGTATTAAAATACAAAATAATTACTGACACTGGAATTTATAGCTAAGTTACTTATCAGTTACTTACTTAAATATAACTGAAATGATGGATTTTACCTTCTATAATGCTATTCAAAATAACTATGTAATAGAGTTATTGCATTTTTATAAAAAGGAACATATTCATAAATAATCAGAAACAACTGCAGCAGAATTGACTGCATAATTTTTATCAAAGAGGTTATATTCAACAAAATGCAAACATATTCAATTTGTGTGATGTTTTTTAGTTTTTCAGATAAACTCAATTACAGTAATATATGTCAAAAACAAAAAGTGTAAAAACTTCCCTGAAGGCGAGAGAACCCAGTATCAGAAAAATAGTCTTGTATTAGGTGACACATAAAACGTTTTTATTCTCAAAAAGCATTGAAAGAAAAAGGTATAAAAAACAGGTTAATAGTTAAAAACCTCATTCAATGAAATTTACGATGGATAATTTAAAAAATTTTAAAAATGAAATTTTGGTGCAAAAGACGGCTGACTTAACAAAGCATAAGGAGCACAGTAAATATATATATATATTTACTGTGCTCCTTATGCTAAGGTACAAATAACTTAAACCATATGTATGTGTACATATATATTACTTCAAATTATACACAAAATATAAATATTGGATGGAAAAATATGTTTAGAATTCAACTGATGTATGTAAACTGATATATATATATATATGCATTTTAATTTTATATCCAACTAAAATATGAGTAAAGTCTATTATACCTGTTGCATATGTCCTAAAATATTCATTCTTGTGCTAAATATATCTTTGCCTTCTTCAGAATACAAACGATAAATAAATTCAGTTGTATAATTATCATTAGCCATTTCATTCCTGTATAAAATAAACATATATTTATAAAAAGAATAGTGAAAGAATGCAGTACGACTTAAAACTGGGAAAGTTGTACAAATATAGAGGATGAAAATAAAAGATTGAAAAAGTTAACTAAAAAAGAATGTGCTTGAATACAACAAACATATGTTTAGGATTTAAATTTACGAACTGAAATAATTTAAAACTATGCTATTAAATTTATTAGTTTAAGATGGTACTACACATAAATTAGTTACCCATCTTTATTATTATGATTATTACATTAAAAATAATTCAGTTTTAAGCTATATTACCTTTTTTCCATATACATTACTATTTTATTTATATATTAATTCTTTTGGCAGTTTAAACAATATAAAATGCTAAGACACTACTGTGCTTATTTTTCAGAAGATATTAAATTATTTAGACAACTGCATACAACAAGGAAACTGGTCTATAATGTTCAATAAATATATGCAGATCATAAATACTATAGAGTTAAAAGAAACAGATCATATATCTCATGTAACTAAAAAATATTTTATTTAATTTTAGTTCTGTAAAAATAAAATAATTTATTGAGTTTTAGAGTCTTTGTTAATAAAAATATTTTTTTATTCCATCTCATTGGAGATATATTACTTTCAATTACTCTCATTATAAAACCACTTCTTGGCAAATTTAAATGCCTCAGAAACCAACAGACAAGAAGAGTGGAAAAAGTTTAGAAATAGCAAGTATTCTCACTGTGGAAAACATAATAAGACCTTTATTTGTCCCACACTCTCTTGCACAGTGACTTTTCAGTGTTGCCATTCAGCAAAGCATAAGCTCTTTAACTTATCTTTCAAATTTTATTTTATCAATCTATTATTCATACACTGATCAATTTAAAAGTAATATGTTGTCACTCAATGAAACCCAAGACTTATCTTCAGTTCAGCTATCAATTCATCTTCTTTGAGGCTTTCTACATAGTGCTTCTCAGAGTACTATCATTCCATAAATCTGGAAACACGTAAGAAAATTCTTTCATATTAAATAAGTCTGTCATTCATTAACAAACTCAGAAATTTAAAAGCAATAAATGCGCTTTTTCATAATTTAAATCTTTTTTTTACTTCTTTAACTAGTCCAACTGATTTAAAATAAAATACATTTCATTATAATATTTCTTATAATGTATTGAATTTATTGTTTTTTGAACATTTGCAGTTTCGCTATTATTAATGAAAAATGTTTCTAATGTCTAATGTTACAGAAATGGTGCTTTTTTTATTTTCAATGTTAAACTCTTCTCTAAGGAGTTAGTTTGCAATCAGAAGTTTTCAGATTGCAGTTCTGCTCTATGTTTGGTTTCAGCTGTTAATTAAATTTAGTTTATGAATATACTTTTATTCAAGTTTTGGTATTTATCAACATTTTCAATACTTTTTGATGGTGTGGTGTATTTAATTATGGCAAAGCACACTAGGGCTATCTGCCTAAGAGGAGGGATGCCTTTCGTGGAGGACTTTCTAAGGGAAACTGGCTCGTATACACGTTACACATGGGGAAAACCACGAAAACACCCATGCAGCCAGGCCGTTCGCGGGATTCGAACCTCGGACCGAACTACCAGTGTTCAGCGGCTTTACCGCTCGGCCGCTAGTGGGCCTGAATACTTTTTGAAGTTTAATTTATAAAACGCATTAAAAATAATCTAAATCTAAATGAATGCATATTTGAAAAGAAGGGAAAGAATGATCTAGTGATGGTAAAATATAATTTATATATACATGTAAAATATAAAATAGGAAACAAAGTTATTAAACTTAATTGCGATCAACAGATAAACATTTGGCAGTAGATCTGCAAATTCATAAATTTTAATTAAACGCATCTCCACTTCAAAAGACATGCTTTGCTGTATTACTCTGCCACATTTTACGTCACTCTTTCCCTGCAATCTCTGTGCATTGCGATATCTTTAGACCAATCACTGCTCGGGATTAACACGATGACTTTCTAGCTATAAATAGGGCTGAAGTGAGTAAGCATTACTTTTTCTCGCTTGCTGTTGCCTGCATAAATCATCTCTTGCTTTGTCTTTTTCTTCGTTGTCTAAACTGTAAACGATGTATATCGAAATTGCAGGGGGTGTTTAGTACCCCTAGTTACTGTACAAGTTTTAAGCAAAAATGTATTTCTGAATAACTGTTACTGTGCAAAATAAAAATGATGCTTTAACCATTAAGCCAGTTGTGATCTGCACGCCATTCATCATTTAAGCAATAGTCTTCTCGGCCATCATTCGAGCGTGAATTGCGTTCATGTTTCCCTGAAAAACTACTACTTCACAAATATATATATTACATTTTCTATTTTTAAAAATACCTAACAACAGCGAAAATTGCACTATTGCAATTCGCTACAAAATTCCTACAAATATTCAATAGTAACTGCTTACCTAAGAATTAAGCCTCTCTGAATTCCCTCGGCCATTTTTGCCTGCATATGAAACACATCTCCAATCAAGTCTTTAATAGAAAAATGTTCTTCAAAAATGTATGCAGCATCTGCACCTCCTGCAAGACCAGCTAATGTGGCCAAGTAACCACAATAACCTCCCATCGTTTCAACGACAAAGACTCTTCTCTTTGTACCCTGTGCACTCTGTCTAATACGATCACAGATCTAAAAGCAAAGATTAAAATGAGACATATTTTTATTTATTCAGTTATGAAATAATACAGGAATATTACACCAAACTGAAATTCTTTCAATGCATAAAATATTTAAAGTTTCCAATTATGGATGCTTTAAATCTACTTGCCCTGCAATTTATATGTTGCTTTAATTACATGCAACAAAATTTCTATTTATTAGAAAGTCATAAATTTTATGCTTAGGAATTAGGGAATAGAAAATTAAAGGAATAAATAGAATTTAAAATTTATTCATTATTAACAGCAAAATATTAAAAGCAATCAACATTTTCTCTATTGAATCTGGGATATGGACTTTAGCTAACTCTCTGAGCAGTGCATGTTTTTGGATCTGTCATAAAGAGCTGTATTTATTACCTAAATTTGTATATTTACTTATTTTAGTCTCTATTTTCATAAACCTACATTTATTAAGATTATATTTATATTATAAAAGAAAGTAAGAAAAGAAATATCTTAAATTATAAGCTAATACAGTCAAAAGTCTTAATCCGGACCTCAAAGCTGCAAACTTTCTGCGCATGCGTCAACGCATAATGAGTTCACGCATGTGCGTTTAATGTATAAAGGACGGTATAAGCTAAGCTAAAATTATCTAATTATCTATTTCAGTTAATGTTGCAGATTGCGTTGTTCCTTAATCTTCAAATTGGATCTAGCTTATTATTTTTCGCAGACTGTTAGAGCAACTTTTACAAAAGTAAGCTTGAACTTTGGATTATGTCAAATAGAATTTCCGATGCTGGAGCTGCCAAAGGATCTGCAAAGCAAAAGTATGTTTCGATGTCCATCAAACAAAAAGTGGAATTGCTGCAAAAAATGGATAAAGGCATATCCTTTGTTTCTCTAACCATTCCGAAATCTGTTTATCAATTTCACGCTGCTCTGCGGGGAGGGGGGGAGGACGTCGCGGCACGCAATGAACTGGAAGTTGATCTGTCAGCACTATCCTTATCTTCAGGGCAGATGTTTTTATTTTATTCAGCTTGCTAAATGTAGTATTCCTTACTAAATGTAGTATTTCATCTCGTCGTACTCCGTCTTTGAGATGATTTAAATCAAATTCCTCGTCATTATAAATATCACCAGTACACATCAAATAGTTTTCTGGTTGCAATTTTCTAATTTCGACTATGCGTAATGTAGGTTTTACGCATGCGCGCGTTGAAAGAAATGTTTAATAAAGTAAACAAATAACTATTAAGCTTTTTTTTTTTTTTTTTTTTTTTTTTTTTTTTTTTTTTTTTTGTAAATTTTGATACCCTGTAGATCGTAATTGCTCTTTATTTCATAAATTACGGTTTCATATTTTTAATTTTGTAATTTCTGCATGCCATCTTATCAGATTTAAACTGATGATCTATAATCCGGAAAAATAGATAATCCAGAATCGCCGAAGTCCTGACGAGTCTGGATTAAAGACTTTTGACTGTATATGCCAAGTGACATAAAAAATCTCATGACCGGATAAAGCTGGTCATAGTGCTCAGAGGGTTAAGTATCATACCATTTGTCACTGCTAATGCCACATATCATATACGAAATGCTCATTCATTTTTACATTAAAGCACCATTTAGTAGAAAATAATGTTTAGGCAAAATATTGTTGCTTGCACAGAGGTTTGCAAAGAGTGAATGCACAGAGAACCAATGATAGCTTGATAAGATTTGGTTTATCAAAAGAAACATTTCAAAGATCTGGAACTTTCCATACAAACAGTCATACAACTCTTCACAGTATAACAGAATACAATCAGTAGATACCTTTAAACTACTAAGAATGCTGAACACAATGCAATTGAAAGCGCATCTAAAGCACGAAGCTAACCCGAAGATATTTCAATATGCCAAACTCATTGAACTAACAACTGGCAACAACTGAAAGAAGTTGTTCTCAGTTGTTATATACACATTGTTACGTTTCTGTACGAGTTCATGGATTTGGAGTGATTAATGACAACACTTGATGAAGAATTATAAACACACTTTATTAGCCAGTATTACTCAGGACAGCTCCGAAAACACGTTTACAGTCGTTGAAAAACTACGACACACATGCTGAAACAATCAGCAATACAGCCTTCAGGCTATAACGTAAAGACAGCTTTATAGCGAGGCACCAGAGAACAGCTCCCGACTTGATTGGGTCGTTCTTAGAACTTTAACAACTTGGTTCATTCGTTCTCGGAACTCGGAGCATAGCTCTTTACGACTTATGATGCACTTGATGATACACTCGATAGCCTCAACAATGCACACGCACAAGACACTCGACTCTAGACTGCTACTCTGCATACAGGCAGGGTTTATATAGCTTTTGGCCTGTCTTTGAGAACATTCTGGGCCAAACCGGTAAAAATTGTTCCAGAATTTCACTATCTGTCTATGTTATATTTTCAATTTTTTCATCAAATATTGCCAAATGGGCGACTTTGCGCCAAATCTGGCAATCCTACATCCACCTTGTGGGAAGCTATATAACAGCAGCTGGACATTTTGTAACAATATATATAGTTTATATAGTCTTATATAGTTTTAAACCAGCCGCCGAGCTATTTCTAGTACTTTCTGCTTCTTGAAGTTAGTGGAAGGCATACGAGAGCCGAATTATTGTTACATATGGAATAAAGTACAGTATCCATTACAGTTATACAGGAACTAGACCAAAATGTCATCAAGTTTGACAGCTTTTGGCGATTATTTGCCAAATTCAGTGACAAAAATTACTTACCAAAAACCGTTGCAATTTTTCACCAATTTAGTGAGATACCCATTTACTGAATGTTAAATAGACTTGCACCTGTATTTTTACTTTTCCGGCAAGCTCCGCTTCTCTAGAATTTCATATTAAAATTATACAGAAAAATACAACTTCAGTGTAATTTGCATTAAAATCACCTATCTATGTACAAAATTCATAAAATGTTAAGTACGAGGAAAGTGGAGATGAATAAGAGCATATGAAATTATTTTCCATACTACTAAAACATTTATAAACTGATTCTACCCTTTCTTTATATGGAGAGGGAGGAGAATATAGTTTACTGCACTAATAATATTATCTTGCATTATTTAATAGCAATATATTAGCTTTTATTTACTGAAATGCATCTGCTGCTTTTATAAAAAATATTGAAGAAAGTAATTTCGGTTTTTAGAGTAAAATAAAATTCAATATTTCCTATAAAAAATGAATTTTAATCAGTCAAGTATTTTCCATTCTGTTCGAAGACCTTCTGCCATCTTTCTGGTTACATCATGATTTCGTGCTCACAGAGCTTCCAGCTTTATCAGCCAAAAACTCAACCAAGTGTGATTTGAGGTCATCATTATTATTAAAATTTTTACCATTTAAGAAGTTTTGTAAACTTCGAAATAAATGATAATCTGAAGGCACAAGGTCTGGGCTATAAGGGGGCTGCAACATCATTTCCCAACCAAACTCCAATAATTTCGTACGTGGTGCTAAAAATGTGCGAGGCCTCGCATTATTATGGTAAGCACAATTTCGCAATTTGCCAATTCTGCTCTTTTCTCTTTGATTGTTTCTTCCAGTTTCATGAGCTGTTGGCAATAAACATCTGAGCTGACCGTTTGGTTGCTGCTCAAAATATGGAACACCTATGTAATCCTACCAAATTGATAGCATGATCTTTTTCTGATGCAGTTTAAATTTCGATATGATTTGTGCTGATACATCATGCTTGGACCATGATGTTTTTCGATTAATGTTATTGTAGACAATCCATTTTTCACCAACAGTGATAATTCATTTCAAGAAAGGGTCGACTGTATTATGTTGGAAATGCATATTGTAAATATTGATTTGTTGAGTTAACCTAATTTCTTTCAATTCATGCAGAACCCGAATATCGAGCTTCTTAACAAGTCGGAGGCATTTTATGCGATTTTCAATTGTTATGTGCAACGTATTTAACCTTTCATAATCTCTCGCACAGTTATATGACAAATTGATTCATTTATGGTTTACATTTTGTCATCATCAACTTCAGAAGGTCGGCCAGAACTTTGATAGTCTCCAGAACAAAATATTTTAAACCAGCTCTAACATATGCGTTCTGTTAAGCAATCAACAAAATAGCCTCCCATATCTCTTTGTGAGCCTCTGTCACTTTCTTGCCTTTATGAAAATAAAAATGTTGAAAATTTTTATTTTTGCACCTGATGCTGACAGTAACAGTTGCACACAAAAATACAGGGAATTTGTTTCTGCAGCGACCTAAAAGTATCAGCTGCCAAATCTTTGACCAATCTAAGAATGCCTTTTTGCTCAGTTTTAAATTTTATACATAGTTTTACATGACAGTGCAATATTAAAATCTTTAAAGTAATATTTCAGGTTTTTATTTTGAATACCATGCTAAAACAATACATTTTTATTGCACAATATAATCTATTTTAATTTTTATTTATTTATTGGAAAACTCACATTGTGTTTATCAGACAATCTCAGAGACTAATGGATTACAAAAACTAATGGTTTAAAAGTGATGTATAATATATTCTCCATTAAATTTAAAAAAAAATGTACTGCATATTTTGCATACAGTACTCAAGAAATCGCATTAAGTCTCAATTTATGTCCTGTTTTATTTAGCCTCACTTCGGACTTTCGATTCAACAACAACCACCACCACCACCTAAAAAAAAAACTTATTTTTTAAGAATAAATAAGTAAATAGCACTTTAAAAAACAGGATTTTTCAATAGAAAATTGCTGAATAATTGTCTATTGAGTACACATAGTATATAATGAAGCTGATGCAGCTGTGTTAACTGTGAAATTAATGTAAAAATTAACCCCTTTATTAAATTGGCATGTGAAGAGCAATAATTTGTTTTTCCTTGAACATTATTTTGATATTTAATAGATTTCAAGTATACAAATTTCACATCATTAGGCCATTTTCAAACATTTTGTATTAATACTGAAAATCTTGGACTTGAATCTAAATTATTTATACATTTCAATTATATTTTGGTTTATGTCACTTTTCTCATTCCTACAAATCTCAGGAATCTAATCTACAGAGAGTATAGTATATAATAATCTACAGTATACTTTTTTCCAAGTTTCCTAATAAATATTATGAATTAGATATCATACAGTGATCCCAAAAAGTATATAAACTTGAATGCAGGAAATACTTTTTAACAATTATCAAATGATATATCCAGTGTATTTCTTGAAAAGTGCTGATATAACATTAAGTAATTAAAAAAATTACAATAGAAACTAGAAAATCTCATCTGCTTAGTTAAAATATTCTATAGTATCCCTTAAAATGCGATAGAAAAACTTAACTATTGATAACTTAACTACTAATAATTGGTATTTGGAATAAAAAATTAATTATAATGATTAATCAAAAAATTTATTAGTTTTAAAACATTTCCTATAACACATAAGTTAGATTAATTGTATAAAAGAAAATAATAGACTTGTTACTTTAGATGTTATATATAAAATATTAGAAACTTAAATATAAAAAGCTAAAACATCTTAAAATTACTAACCTCAGTAATTTCATTAAGGGCAGTATCAGAGCCAAGTGAAAAGTCTGTTCCAGGAACATTGTTACTAATAGTTGCTGGAATTACAATCATTGGAATACATAATTCAGGATATTTAGATCGCTGATCTGCCATTTGAAGAACAGAATGAAAAGCCTGAAAGAGTAATAAAAGAAGGACAAACAAATTAGATATAATTATATTGTTATAAATTTTGGGTACTTTTCCGTTTTGCGGGCGCAAATCTCACCAAGCAGACTTTATTGGCGAAAACACTCGTATACACATAAAAAATGTTGGCAAATGTTAGTTCTAAGAATTTATTTTGAAAGTATAAACATTTTAATGTCGTTTAAAATTTTGTAAAAAAGACAATAAATTTGTAAAAAGACATTAATTTAAGAATTTACTATGCTTTCATGGTACAACAACCTGATTCGCTGGTTCATATTACATGACCCCAAATGATCCCATTTCACGTAAACTAAGCTACAAAAATCTAATTATCTCAGTAATTATCTATATTAATTTCAAGTTAAATCTTAATTTGGAATACAAGTTTAAATGCAAGAATTATTTCAATTCTTATGAATAGCTTACTCAGAAATTATGTAAAACCGCAGCGCTTTACTTCGTTAGTGCATTCTCATTAGAATGGATGAATTTAACCCTTGACTTTGCCTTTTCTATATTTTCGTCATCGGGCGAGAGGTGTTATTGCATCCTAATTGACTTAATTACCGCCCGTGAATGGCCATAGGGCATAAAATTGAACTATCTGGTAAAAATTCTATGTAATTGTATGCCAGTATTTAAAAAAACAATCAATCTGATAAGAAATGGCTGCAATTTGTTTTGAAAATGTAAAAGTTTACCAGCGAGGATATTTTGTTTGGCATCGGTTGTACCATTACTGGCGACTTTATCGCTTGCACCGGCAAAACTGAGAAGTACCGAATTTTGTAAATATATAAATAATTTTAGTGAAATTATAAGCTAATTTTCAGTATCTTTTGTATAATGTAACATGATTGAAAAAGCAAAGTTCTATTTGGAAAATAAGGTTATAAGGTATTTCTCCTGCTTTCTTAGCGTGCCTTCCTGGTGTAGTGGTTCTGCATGCTGGTCCGGTATTCCAGAGGTCTGTGGTTCGATTCCTGGCGAAGGCGGTTACTAATTTTTCATCTCTTTGGCTTTTTTAATCATCCTAATATCTCTACAGTGGTGCCTGAACTAAAAGGGTTGTAGATGATGACTATCTACACCCAGGATTTGACGATTGGGTCCCCTAAAAACTTCAGTCACCCTTTAAAAAGGGGAGTATATAAGGTATTTCTCCCGCTTTCCTAGCATGCCTTCATGGTGTAGTGGTTCTGCACGCTAATCCGGTATTCCAGAGGTCCGTGGTTCGATTCCCGCCGAAGGCGGTTGCTAATTTTTCATCTCTTCGGCTTTTCTAATCATCCTAATGTCTCCACAAGGTTACAGGGTCAAGTCTATTTAACATCGAAGTAAATGGCTCTCTCGCTAAATTAGTGAGATATCTCCAAACTGGTGATGGTTTTGGCGACTAATTTTTGTTGCCAAATTTGGGGAGAAATCACAAAAAGGTGCCAAACTTGGTAAACATTTGGTGACATTTCGTCCAGTCCCTCTACAGCTGTAATTCATATTGTAATTTATCCCTATACATAACTGTAATATCTTAACTGTACCTGGCTTTTATATGTAAGCTTAATAACCATATCTGCCTCCCAGTAATTTCAAGAAATGGAAGGTACTAAAGATATTTCGGCAGCCAGGGTTAAGCCTGGAGAGAGCATCAGTTTTTAGTTCAGAGCTGACTTTAGAATATTGAGAAATTGTGCAAGCTTTGCTCTTTGGATGCAATTTGCATTGTGTTGTGTTAATGATATTAGTCATTTGAAGTGGAAACTACTGATTGTGCTGTCTTATACTGAGAAGAGCTGTATGAGGTTTTTTGTGGAAAGTTCCAGAATTGTAAAGTGTTTCTTCTGGGGAAATTCCTTTTCCTTTTATCAAAATATCATTGGTTCTGGGCGCATTCAATCCATTACAAACCCATACGCATGCGACAATACTGATTATTAACCACAATATACGAATGTTAACTACTCTTGAATGCATGTAAATGGTAAAAATATTTTCCGGTACTTACTTGAAAAACGAATGACCATGAAACAACTTTTATCTATAAATGGTGCTTAATATCATTGCTTGGCAAAAAAATTTATGGTATGACCATGGAACTTTTACCAAGCAATGACAGTTTAATATCTCTCTTTTTTAAAATAGCAAGTAGCAGATTATTTTCAAAGTTATGAAATCCTACCCCCCCCCCACACACAAAAAACCTGTATTAATGAACAATTTATAGTCAGCTGAATATGACCAACAAAAAGTAGTACACTGGAACTATTATCTATGGCAAGTTTAAATACAGTGTTCTAAACAGAGATAACAGTTTTACTGGAGAATCTAACAAAAATCGATAAATCGATTTTTTACAAACTTAAAATGAAGTATGTAAAATACTGACTGTTTATGAAATACAGTAGAGTCTTGAAAACTTGGCCTAATGTGGACCAAAGGGCAGCTAAGTTTGTGAAAATGCTGAATTATTGGGAAAGGTTTAAAAATGTATAAGTGCAAGTGTTTCCTCAGAAAATATAGTACTTATATCTATTGGTTGCTTGAGAATATAACAGTTTATAAAGAATTCAATATTGTAACTTAAACTAATAAATTACCAAAATATCCTTAAACAAAAGAAAAGTATGCAGTTTATTTTGAAGGCACATACAGCCTTTACTAATGAAAATTAATGAATACGTACTGTACAGTAATTTACGTGATAAGACAGACCTCAGAAAAATACTTTATGAAGGCATAAAGCTGTCTATAATGAAAACTAACTAGCCGACTTCACAAAAACTGGCTATTTTTTTTTAAAGAAATGCGTAATGTCTGTTGTTTTCCACACTGAACTCTGCGTTCTGCTGCTTCATCATGAAGATGATGAGGGAACAGTAAGTCTTTTATGGACGCATCTTGTTCAAAATACTGTAAGAAGGTTTTGACAGACTTTAGTTCCGCACTATGTGATATTTTAGAGGCTTGTATGGTGGAGTACTCAAAGTCGAGGTCTTCATCATTTTCTGACATTTCTTCATTAACTGTGATAGCAGCAATAATTTCTGCATTGGACATAATGTCTTGCTCGGGATCATTCTGGAACTACTGTTCGACGTCATTTTCATTGGCTTCTGCACATACAGGAACTCTTTTCAGCAGGTCGAATAAGTTTACATTTTCTGCATCATCATGTTCAGTGAACTCATGATTACATTTAATAGGTCTCTCTCTCTCTCTTTTCTGGATAAAACCTTGACCATCATCGTTTGCAGAAAGAAGAGAGAATAACAGTTCGTGCCTATACCTTCTCTTGAGACTAACCAAAAGTCCTTAATCCATTGGCTGGCATAATGCTGTGACATCGGGTGCAGTATGTCCCCATTTTTTAGCTATTCAATGTCTGGGAGAGAAGACGCATTGTCCAAAATCAGAATAGCCTTCCGTGGCAGGTTAGGAGATTTTAAAAACTGCTCAACTGATGGAACAAATACTTCACTTTTTCAAAATTGCACATCTTATCCAGGCATTTGACTGGTGTAGATACCAAACGGAAAGTTTACCCATTTCAATGTGCTTAAACACATATGGTTTCTTTGATTTTCTATGACACCAAGTTTCAACTTGTGGTCATTACATTACTACATGCCAAGATTGTTACCCTCTCCTTGCTCCTTTTAAAACCAGGGGCTGACTGTTCTTATTTGAAAGCAAGACTTTTCGCTGGTAACAGTTTATAATTTAACCTCGTTTCATCACAACTGTGCAACTGCTCTGCGGTCAAATCTTCGATATATTTCTGAAAGTTTTCCCTAAAATGTGACATATCCTCCATGTCCCCAGATAGTTTTTCTTCACAAATACTAAGCTGTCGCACTCCATATCACTTCTTCCAGCAATCAAGCCAGCCAGTACTTGCGACAAATTTAGGATCATTGCCATTTTTTAAATCATAAGATTTCAAGGCCTTCTATTGCAAGATTGGCGAACTAATTGCAGTGCCTTTCCCTCTTTTTTGGAAAAACCAAATATAAATCATTTCATTTACTGCATTAAATTGACTTTCCTTTCTTTCAATGTTTCTGTACACATTCTCTTTACGCACCACGATTCGATTTCCGTCTGCTTCTTCCCGTCTCCAATCATACTTTTGTTGACTCCCAAGTCTACTACACTGACACTTTCTCCCTTATTCAGTCTCTTCAATGACCCCAACTTTTGCTCAACAGACAAGTTCATTTGTTTCCTTTTAACGGAAGATGCCATCACAGAGTACTGTCCAGCATTCGCAAACTCTAAAACAGCTTTGAACAATACAGTACAGTCACTCACATCAAATTACACAACATGGCTAAGAAATCGAAAATAACCCTGGCAAAGGCTGCAGGTAGATTGAACAGCTGAATGTGCACTGGCACCAGGCACATGGTAGAGGAGTGGAGTGTGACATGAGACAAAGGAACGCACAAAGAAAGGGACACATGCACACAGGCAATGTCCTTGAATGGGTCTATGCCGCAAGGGTTTTTTTTTTCAACTTGCCCAGGGTGGCCCATTTACCTATCAGCTTTTTCAGAATTCCACACTTTGGCAGACTCTCTGACAACTTTCATTTCGATGAGATATTATGCAAATACATACAGTCGAATCCGGTTAATGGGACCAGCTGCTTTTTCAGACCAAATCCTAAAGAACCAAAACTAATCCTATGTACCTATGTCCTAATATGTAATCCTATGTCCTAATATTATTCGCTTATTTGGGCAAAAATTCAGTTTAATTGGACCAAAAAACATGAGAGTGAATAAGAAACAGAAGCCACAAGTCGGACATGTACAGCGGATGTACAGGTGGTCTGCGACATGAGAGGATCTGTAGTTGTGACTCCACAGGAAAATGTTTTATCAAAGGTCAGGAATTCCTTAAGGTGCATGACAAAAGCAAAACCAATGGGAGGTGAACACGCGCACCATTTTCTTTGACCTGCGCCTCAGAGTTTTGAGGAAATGTAATCGTATGCAATTTAACGATGTTTTTGTGTGGCATCTGTATGTAAGGATAGAATGAAGGATTCTTTTTCCCCAAACAAAATTATAAAACGATTTAAAATGTATTCAGAAGAGATTTTTTTCGTGACGTCTGCAAGTACATACGTATGTATTTATTTTGCATAACCCAAAAACGAGTACACTCAAAACATTGAAATTTTGTATATAGGACTGCTATAACATGCAGTTATGCACCTCCCTTTTTAGTTGCAATCAGCCATACCAAAAGTGTATACATAAAATATAAAATCTAGCTTTCAAATAATAAGTTAATGGCCCTTTGACTACTGTCTTCATTCTAAAAATAACAGAGCAATAATTTTTCTAACTAAATGAAAACGATCTGTCATTTAATATGTATTGTGTGCTTATCGATGAAGTCTGAACCAAGCACCTGCACATTAAACTGTCATGTGATCTGAAATGGAATATTCATTTAAAAGCTTAATTACATCGCAACTCCCTCTTCACCTCTGCTTCTTTTTGCTGGGTCGCCTTGCCGCTAGTTTTACTTTCCTAAATTCGCCCATTGTTTAAAATGTGAGCTGTATGAAATTGGGAGGTGCATAGTGCACCCATAGTGATAATCTGCATTATCCAAAAATAAAATTATGTGTGGAATTAAGCGTTTACATGTTCTTGCTAACTATGCAGCAAAGTCTTCAAGTTATGATGCCGTCTTCTCCAATGCCAATCCATTACAACGCTCATTAAGTCATCTTATTTCAATAATAATGCAGTTTTATATTACAATAATGATGCAGTCATATTACAATAAAGGCACAGTTGTATTACATATATATACCCACTCTGTTACTCGGCTCCATGAACTCAGTTTTTTTTATTCTTATACGTCGTAAATTGTGAATTTTTTGCTTTAAAAATTATTGAATTATGTTATTCTTATCTTCTGGTCAAGGTTCTTATACCTTTAGTTAATCTGTGCACAGTAGTTGAAGAATTATCAACAATTTAAAAGGTATTAAAGTGCAGCTAAGCATAATTTTTTTACCATAGCAACCATATTTGTTTATATTTGAAACTTAACAAAACAGTGAATTCAGTTTCTGCACCTTCAGAATCTTTTTGCTGAGTGGGACAAAAAGTAAACCAAGTTTTGTGCACCGAAAAGTCTCCCTTCACTCGCTCGCTGAATTGCTTGTTTTTACATAGAAACTCTAATTTTTAATTGTAAATATCATTTTTTTAGTTTTTTTGTTATATATTTTTCAATTTTTAATAAAGATATGAGGTTTTATGCAGATTTGCCTTGTCACGAAGTGAACTGAAATAATTCTCTAATGAAATTTGAGGAAATAAGTTTAAATGAAATGCAGGAAAAAAAGCATATAATTTAATATTATGTATAAGGAAGTCATGTAGTGTACACATCACATTTTTTTTATTCTAAAAACAATAATATGTTTATAATAAATCTTTCTAAAGTGCATCATTTCAAAATTAATTATTATCCTATAACTTTCAAATAATGCAACTTACACAAAGGCAAAAGTAAAATAAAGTTTTATCTGATAGTATTAAAAAACTTTTTAAGTATTCCATAAAGCAGGCATCAGTAACATTTTTGGCAACAGGTTGAATTTAACCAAAATGTGGGATTAACAAAATGTTTCAGGTCAGTGGTATTTTCATTTTAGAACAGTCTTCCTTAATAAATAATTTTAAAAATTTTACTGAAAAATAATTACAGTACACTTTGAACATAAAAATTTAAATTGTAATTCTAATTATTATAAAAACAAACACAACTGAATGAACTTTATTGTTCTCTTTGATATCAATAGCTTCTCTGATGTTGAACTTATGACGTCTTAAGAGAAATACAAGCTACTTCTGATATGACTTAAACATGTGTGAAAATACTTGTTGGCCCTTATAAGTTGAACTGAAGAAAGACTAAATGGCAAAAACATTTCTTAAAAAAATTAGGGATTATGGATTGGCAGTGCCAAGCTTATCAATTTCTCCTTGAAATTACGCTGTTATTCAAATTTTTTTAAAAAAAATATCCATGTTTCTACTGCAACTTTGTATCTAAACAATGTTACTGTTATTATTTATTTTCAGTTCATTTGTGTGTGTTTTCTGCAAGTGCTCATTTCAGATTTATGTTTATAATTTATTTTTATTTTTCATACTTCATTTTCAGAGCTCAAATGAGTCACTTGAAACTATGGGTCACTTAATGACTGGCAAGTCATAAGCTGCCAGAACCTGCAGTAAATAAAGATGCCTTTCCCCCCACAGATAAATAAAATGACTTCATTATTTTGAATCTAACTGAATAGCATAGTCCTTGCTCTAATCATGCCTCCTTCTGTCCAACTAACATACAGTCTGTCACTTCTTTTCATGGCCATTTCTTGTGAATATAAAAATGTATGATTATGACCATGGAATAAAAGATGTGCTTGTAGATTTAAGATATATGTGTTCATGTCAATAAAGCTATGCCATAAATTCAAAACTACATCAACTAGCATGCTTGCATTTGCATTTTTGATGCACCAACCTCCTCATTGTCCCCCCATCAAATTTTATTAACATGTATATAATTAAAATTAACTACTAGAAAATTCAAGCCTAAAGAAGAGCATAGTGGAAGAAGGTTCTTAGAAAGACCATAGCACACCTTGGGCCACCACACTAATAGAAGATAAATACATGCTAAGTCAATTTTAAAATAACACCCAGAGAATTTTAATGCTTTCTGTAGTAGAGAAGCTGGCAATTATACATACAACATGAAAATCTGAAGATATTGCAATGGAATACTTAAAAATATTTTTAGATAAATATAATTTGTGTGCAAGAGAAGTATATCCTTTATTATAAGAGTTAGAGAAAATGATAGTACTCTTTAACTCTGTATTAAATTTTTAAAAATTTGATAATGTATTTGGAACCTTTTTTTATTCTAGTAGAACAATATTGATATACTGATAGATGTAATTGTTTTCATAAATTTATAAATTATATAAATGTTGCATAATTTTAGTGTCTCTAATTTCTAATGAGAAAAGAAATTTTTTTCTCCTTCTGTATTCAAAAGATCACAATATTAAAACAATCTATTATATAAGGATTGCTACTCAATTTCTGATTGAATTAATTAACAACAATTGGAAGGAGTTAAAGAAAGTTGTTAAAATAGCAAATTTTTTTTAAATAATAAATGTTTTAGACATTCAACAGAAATATACAATTTTCATATAATTTTTCATTTACAATTTGCTTAAAAAACATGAGCAGAAAGAATAGCAGGAAAAGAAAATGTCTATTTACCTCAAATCCTCCAGCAACTAAAAGACCTTGGATCTTATAGTGTTTTATTTTTTCTACAACTTTATCCATAATAGCATCTGGTAGTGTTCTGCAGTAATTATTAAAAATAAAAATTATGAAATATTATACAGTCCAAATACTGTTGAGCAGAAAAGAAAATGAAAACAAACCTACCTCTTAGTTCCCAAAAATGCACCTCCTTGTCCTACCCAACCAGCTACTTCAGACCAATGCATTTCTTGGACCTAGAAATTTAAAAAGGATTAAAGTAGATTCCTCAACCATGAATACATTTATTCATAGCTCCATATTTATTGAATCCACTTGTTGTGGGAACAATTTACTAACCATTTACTAGGAGAGAAACTTAGGCATTTAAACAAAGGTTAATCATAAATTTAAAAACATGCTTGTTGTCAGTCAGAGTAAATGAAACTTAATCTTTACTTCTGATATATTATTTATATATATATATGTAATTTATAATATACATTTATATATATGTTACATATATATATGTGTAAGATAAAAAAATATGTGAATCAAAATTATAATTTAAACTAATGATAAAACATTAATTCTCCCTCGCTGTTTTAAAAATCGTAATAAATTCTCTGGATTGCATCATTTCTAGATCCATCCATTGTGCATGACCTGCACAACGCTGATGACACAATGATTGTAAATTGAAACTTTTTAACTCAAACCAAAACTTTTCTCATCATGCACTTCCATCTTGCATAACTACGCACTTCAGCTTCTCTCTCTGCTCTGCTTGGACGTAATTTCGCTATGCTGCTTGCTATCGCTATAATATCAAAATGTAAATGTTCTTCAATAGGCACGATTAGAGTGCCAAGTGAATTGTAGCCACAAACATCAAATGGAAAATAAAAGTGGAATTAAAACCGTCCCAACTGCCAAATTTCTTACATATGAACTAAGTCAACATATTAGTATACTATGCAATCAGAATGCTTCCTCTTCAATATGGATCTATGTACGCATCAACAATGCTCTGTCTTTTCATTCCTTGCTGCTATTATTTCATATATAAATATATTAATGCAAGAACATCATTTATTTAATATATATATATATATATATATATATATATATTGTATCAGCTTTAAATGGTACTGATATTATTTATATTTATCAAATAACTTTACTGCAGTCTCCAAATTACATTGAAAACATTTTAATAATTTAACAATTATTAAAACACTTTAAAAAATCTATGATAATTTGGTTTGATAAATTTTGTAATATCTGTGTTAGCTTTGATAAAATTTTGTAATATCCACGTTTTTAATATTATCATTTCCTAAATCAAATGCTTTATAAAGCTCTAACTGATCATAAATAGTAAACCACTTTTGGAAATTAAAAAATAAACAATTACTCCTAATAATTATAATGAAACATTATTCTTTGATTTATAGCAATTATTCTATATACTCTATATATATTAGGTTATATTTTAGTATTATTACCACCTGATAAATGAACATTGAATAAATGTCACAATAAACGATTATTTAATCTAAAAAGAAATCAACTATAATAACTAATAATATTTTACTTTTTTTATCCCTTTATTTATGTCATAATTATACCTAAATAAAATATTTTTCATTGACCTGGAAGTAACTGTAGTCAAACTTCATTCTTGGGCTCCCACAAATTTCATTCTTAGGTCACAATCCACATATGGTCTACTCTTGACCGATTCTTATTTCATTTCATGGAATGTACTGTATGTTAATTATTGAATCTCTTTTGAGATATTGCCTCAGGTTACATTCAAATTTTGAATATGAACAAAATTATTCATTCTAAAAAAAAAAAAAAAAAAAAAAAAAAAAAAGATTTCTTTTAACCCAAATCTTTTTCAAAGTCTCAACTATATTATTTTTTAAAGCCCTCCTAAGAAATCCATCAAATCAATTGGTATTTGAAGATCAAGAAGACTGTGGCAAATATTCCCAGGTGATAAATAGCTTCTTTGATAGCTTAACACCTTTTCAGTCTCCTGCATGCAAATTTTGGATGAAAGGAACTGCATGTGCAGCCTGCTTAAGCATATATATGCTGAGGATATTCTTCAAATATTCACAACAGCAATGACCAGTGGCCAGTCACAGGGACTCCTTTAGCTGTTCCTAGATTCCTCAATCATTCCTGACCTTCTAGCCTGTTCCACATCTGATGGCTTGTTCTTGATTTGCTAGTCCATTTCTGATTTGATAGTTTGTACCTGATTCAGTGGCAGATACGAGCTGATCCGGCAGAGAATAATTTTTTTCATTCATATCACATTGCATACATCTTCATATCATCTTCATGCTACCATCTTTTAATTTAATGATAGGTTCATCCTATTTTTTGTTATGTTACTTTTAAGGACATAATAAACCCTAGTTGTTAGTACAGTCTGTGTTATTCAACATACTTTTGGTTTAAAATGGAGTCATACGGGGGAGGGGGGAGGTTGTTTTTTGCCACCACAAGAAAAACATCAGTGAGCCATTTCCTTAGGAAAGTAAGTATACTTGCTTTCTACATTCCACTACAATCCTAGAGTTCTCCCCTCAAGAGAAGGGGAATAAATCATTCTCAAATTTTACCATACTTTCGGAATTTCCCAATAGGGAGTTAGCATATTATTTATTTGGAAAGCTAACTTAGTAATAAAGAAACTTCCAGATGGGAGCGCAAGGAAATTTTTTGGAAAGTGACAACCTAAAAGGAACTTTTGAAGAATTCGGATGTTGTTAAAAAGAACTTGCTGTGGGTCGAGACTAACAGTATCGTATCAGAAATTTTGTGAAATTAGAAATTCAAAAGAAGGCATTACAAATAATTGTTCCAGAAGTCAAACATCAGTTTCAAAATATTTTTCTTTGCAATAGTACTTTTGTCCCTATATTCTTCTTTCCTATACATTTTTTAAAATATTTATTAATCACCCTTGAAGATTATTACTCATAGTTGTATTTTATTTATTACCAAAAAAGACCTGTTCACACTAGATAACAAGTTATCTCTGTTTGGAAATTAAACTAATATTTTTGTTCTACTGTTCTACTATTAAAAATGCATTTAGTCATGTTATTAACCTCGCAGCTTCAGATCTTTTCACCAACTTTTAATAAATGCATTCATTTAAATCGATACACATCAGATACTACATTTAAATAATATATACTTACATTTCCACTGATTAATCCATCAAATCCTTCGTGAATTCCAAGCACAGTATCACCTCTAAACATGCATGCTCTGACAAAGGATCTGACTATTGCATTCATACCACAACAAGGAGCTCCAACATGCATGACTGCAAATCTAAATTTTCCCTAAAATAAAATTGTGATACCTAAGTGCATCTACATTATTATCATTCTTTATTATTTCTGCATATATTAAAAACATATAAACAAACATTACAACAGACTTACTTTCTCAATCCTATTCTCATTAGCATAAAATAAAAAATACATTTTAGATACCAAGAAGATTTTGAAATGTACATATAAATAATAAATAGCAATGCACATCAGGCATTCCCAGTGGGATCAGCACTGACCCCAGGGGATGGATGAAATTTCAAAAAGAATCAATAATGGAATATGTGCTAGCAATTGATTGATATTATCAAAATCTCATCTACTATATATAAAAAAATATGATAAAATTTATAACTAATGATTAATTGATGTAAAGCTGTATCATGTAGTAAGAAAAGAAATCCTAAAAATATACTAAAATTATTTAATACATTTTTAAATCAATAATATTTAATAAAATATACAAATTCTTTATGTAATAGAGGCAATATAAGAAAGAGAAACACAAGAATACAAGAAAACACATTATTATTATTATTATTTAATACGAAGACTTCAAAACTGGAATGGAAAACAAGAAATGGGTAGAAAATTTTTGAGCGAGGTTCAATTTTAAATAAAACTAAACTTTTGTGCAATTAGAATTTATGATTTTTGTTTCTGAAAATCTGTTTACATTTGTAAAATAAAAAAATACTAATAATACAAAAAGTAATTACAAATAAATCTAATAAACTATTTTTTCAAAACTATTGTTCATAATTTTAACCCAATTGTTACCTTTAAGTTATTTATGCATGATTATTTGTGTTATGATTATGTTGTATAGTGTATACTATAAGGGAAAATGTATAGGAGTCTAAGAAAACAGTTCCTTTAAAAAGGTTAATTCAAGAAAAGGGTTTGGAATCCATGAGGTAAATAAATTACTTGGAATATATTTCAGATATTATTAGCCAATCACTTGAGAAGATTTTCCTCACAGATATCAGAATACTAACAGTTAAATGCAAGATGAGATGATTAAACGACTATTCTGTTTGATAATAAATATTAGCATGCAAAATATAATTTGACAAAAAAGGCTTAATTAAAAAAATTAGTATATATTAAAAAAAAAGTACCAAAATACATAAATAACTGAGTATGTTCATGTGTTCTCAGAAGTAAATTAAAGATATATTTCTTCTAACTTACCTCTTACTGCTTAATCTCAGCTTCATTGCCGAGTTTCTTTGAACCTGAATAGAGTGTAGTTCACACGTAAAATTTCCTCATGTTTTAATAAGAAAAATTAATTTCATAATTTATGCGAGAGAATAGGAAATGTTTTAATTTATACTAATATAATGAAACTGTGATAACTTAAAAATAAACTGTAATGTTCTTAACTAATTGTACAAAAAATATTAATAGAATTTAAAAAATGCATTAATGTGATATTGAAATAAATGATAGTTCTCTTATTACCTTAAAAAATTTACTATGAACTTAAAGGGTTTTTATTTTCTATACAGAAATTCCTTAACAGAGCACCACACTGTGAATCAGATATAGTAATTTGAGTCTAGTCTAAAATAGTTGACAAGCAGCCCAAATTGTTTACTTCATATTTTTTAATGTGAAATATAATGCAAAAAGGTCATTTTAAATTTTAAAATGTGTTTGAACTGCGTACTGTTCACAAATAATTACATTTATTTAGATGCAACTAATTCTAATACCTTTTATATTATTTCAAATAAAATCACTGTAATTTTAAATTTTTTTTAAACAGACTGAAACTGCAGAATATTTGCTTGATTTGAAATGAAAGTACATTTACCCTGTAAGGGAAAATTTAATTACATCAAAACAGACAATATTAATTTTTTAATTACACTTTGACTAGTAAACTTGAATTAACGTGGGATCCCTAGAAATGTCAATACTTCACATATATTTTTTAAATGCAGTAGACACCACTTAATGTGATTGTTAATGAATCGCCAAAGGCTCACTTGTTTGTATACAAAAACATGGAAAATACAAAATTTATTGTGATCAACTTTTCAGTTAATATGATCAAAATATTAGACAATAATTTTTTTAGTAGCAAAGTAAAATCGCCAGATAACAGATAAAGTATCAAATAAGTTTAGAATAGATTATAAAAATTACCAAATGATAGAGAAATGCTGCCAAGAAAGAGATTACGTAACCAAACACTTGGTTTCAAATTTATTCAGCCATTTAAAATTAAAATAATTAAAAAAAAAAAAAAAAACTAAGTTAGATGTAGATTTCCAATACCTCTAATGATTTTGAGAGCAATCAACTACTGGCTTCTCTTCTTAAGGAGTAAAAAAAATATCTGAAAACATCTATGCTAAATGAAGGTTGTTTTTTTGTCCAATTTTAAATTTTGCATTGCCAAATTCTGTTCCAATGATGTAAGCCTTCTTAGTATTAAGGTTAGGGGTACAGCATCAATCAAATAATTTCTAGAAACATTATGAACAGTTCATAAATGAACTTTTGCATTAAAGACATTATGAACAGTTCATTAAAAAATTTCGGTACTTTTCCATTTCGCCAGGGCAAATCTCGCCAAGCAGACTTTATTGGCAACAACACACAATATACGCACAAAAAATGTTAACAAATATTAGTTCTAAGAAATTTTTATTTTAAACATTTGAATATCGTTTAACATTTTGTAAAAGACATTAATTTAAGAACTTACTGTGCTTTCATGGTACAACATCCTGATTCCCCGTTTCATACCAAGTAACGCCAAGTGAAGTGATCTCATCTCGTGTAAACTACACTACAAAAATCTCTCTCAGTAATTATACATTAATTTCAAGTTAAATCTTAATTTGAAATAAAAGTTTAAATGCAAGAATTATTTCAATTCGTATTACTCAGAAATTATGCAAAACACAGGTGCTTTACTTCACCAGTGCATTCTCATTAGAACTGATGAATTTAACCCTTGACTTTGCTTTTTCTATATTTTCGCCTTCGGGTGAATGGTTTGATTGCAACCTAATTGACTTAATTACCACGAATGGCCTTAAGGCATAAAACTGAACTATCTGGTAAAATGTCTATGTAATTGTATGTCAGTATTGAAAGAAACAATCAATCTGATAAGAAATGGCTGCGACTTGTTTTGAAAATGAGGCATAAATGAATTAGGTAAAATAAAAAAAGGAATATCCAGCGAGGATATTCCTTTTGGCATCGGTTGGACCATTTTTGGTGACTTTATCGCTTGTGCTGGCAAAATGGAAAAGTACCAAAATTTCTGGAATTTCCTAATTAAAATTATATTCTTAATATAACTAGAAATATATAAAGTACTTATTTATATATTTCTAAATAAGCTAGTTAAATTCCATTGCTATTCTGAAGGGCAGTCTTCCTCATCATTTAATATTATCAAAATAGCCACAGATAAACGTCATCACATTAACTGGTGTCTACTACACTTGATAAATTTCTCAATGTATCTCTTTTCAGCATGTAAAAGTCAACTTTAAAATTCAATGTTTTCAAGAGCTATTATCATTGTATCCAATAAACAACTCACTAATGCATGACCTTCAGCATCAACTGCATCCTCGGGTGGTTTCAATCTTGTCAGCATTTTATATGTTATTAAGTTGCTTGCAAAGCTCCTGAAATTTATTATTTTAAAATGAAATGTTCACATATTAAAATCATTGAGCATACTAGTAAGCTCACAATACATAAATTAAAATAATCTGATAAATGTGTGTTTACCTTCCTCTTAGATTGACCGCTTCTTCCCATTTCTTATTGGCCATGGCTTCAGCTACGGATTTAGTCTGATAAATAAAGAATATTTGGATAACTTTCAGCAGATATTGAACATTAAATTTAATTCACAACTGATAAAAATATTAACAAATCCATATTTTACATATTACAAATTTGTTTAAACATAAAACTTACAACTAATATGGATAAAAGTATTAGATAATATTTTGGATCAGACACTCCACGATTTTTGTGGATGAAAGGTAAGTAAAAAATGGCGCAAATATTTGCATATTCACCTAAACATTTTGCTTATTTCTTCTTTAATGCTGAATGCTATCTAATAGTGCAAATTAAATTTTAAATTTAACTTTAATTAATATTTTTAAAAGAATACAACAATTACATTATATAACAGAAGCATCTGAATCAATGTTTAATCTAATTTAATAAAAAAATTTAATAAAAAAATCGAAATGTATTTTAAAAAATACATTTCGATTTGAATTAATTTTACTTTATAAATAATAATAATAATAATAAATAATAAAGCTTTATAAATAATATGGTTTCTGAATATTACTTGAGAAATAACGATCATTATTATAAAGTTATATTGATAAACCATTATTCATAAATAAAAATTCATATGCATAAAAAATTCTTTCTGCATATAAAATTTTAGGCAGCTGTTGTAACAAGTAACAAGTTTACCAAAATCTCGCCAAATGTATGATAATTTAAATACACATAACATTTGGTAGCTGTAATTACTGCAAAATAGTTTCAGAAAAATTTTGCCTTCTGACACATAAATTTAGTAGGATTAAAAATGATATACTTTTAATAGTATGTCTGTTATGAGCTTTAACTAGGAAGTACTCTTCCATTCTGCAACACATACTCCTGAATATACTATGTTAAGTAAGATTCTTACAGCATTATTTTTCTAAGATACAGACTCTGGTTGATTTGAACAACTTTATTTAGCCATTCAGATTGGCCTTTAGCATCTCTGATTAGACTTTTTAAACAAACCTAGCTTCTTAAATTTATTCCAGTCAAAGGTTGTATTACTATAAGTATTGAATAGTTTCTCACATCATTTCACTGACATTATTTCTTCTGATAAACAATAGATAAAATGTAATGCAGTTAAAAAATAATTTTGTCCATAAAACTTGTTTTCATCATAGATGTTCTTCTTGTTTAAGCATTATTTAAGTGTTTAATGTTATACAAGTTTATTGTTCACTTTCATTTCTTGACTGCTATCACAAAGCATAATGCAAGATAGAATTTCCTTTTCTTGCACAAATCGACTAGCATTTTTCCAGTTAATGGCAAATTAAGAATAATTTACAGATGAAGTATAAATAAAGGAATATTACTATAACAAAGACTTATCACAATATGCTCACACATAAAAAATAAGCACATATGGGAAAGGAAAAAAAGGGAGGAAAATAAAAATTGCCTTATTAGAAACCATTAAGGCTTCCATTATAGGCAATTTATCCTAGACCCCCAAAATCCACAAATATGATATTTGGATACTTTGTGTTATAGCAATCCCAAGGGCCAATTGATTGTGTACACCGTGAAGCAGCAAAAATATCAAAAACCACTGCAAAGGAGTTCTTCTGCGATAGTGGTAGGCAGTGGCAGATTGGCCAAAAAATCGGCCTTGGCAGGATAAAATATGCCTGCCCTTAAGGCCCCATATGAAATGTCATTATGCATACATTGTCATAGTCATAAAAAATAATATATAAAATATACTTTTGCACAAAAGTAACACTTTATTCATATATATATATGCAAATAAACTACAAAGAATAAATAACAGTGACTAAATAATTATATAAACAAAACAGCAGTTGATTCATAATTAGCCCTTTAAATATTTTTTTAATTCCAAGTGCCTGGACAAATGTTTCCTCCATTATATCTTCAATTTTTGCTTTGGCCAAAATATCCTTCTCTATGCTCATCAATAACAATGACTCCTAATTAGCTTGCTTCATAGTAATCCTTTATCGACTTTTTACAATTTTTAATTTTGAAAAAGCTCTTTCGCATTCAACTTGGGTTATAGATGACCGAGTACAAATTTATAAGCAAAAAGGACACTGACGTATGCATTACTATATAAATTATATTTCAAGAGTAATTTATATACACATAAGATGCAATTTTTTCAAAAATTGCATTTAGTTTTGGATGAATGCTCATTGATAGATAGAGCACTCTCTCCTGACTCGGTATCAGATTCAAAATAATGATTTTCAATTGAATTTTTTAGCATTTCCCATTTACTTACTAGGTTCTGATATTCATCCTTAAGATTATCAGTTGTTATACCTGCATAGTGCCCTAATATAGATAAATAACCGAAAGATTTCGGCAACAATGACTTCGAAAAGTTTTTGGGATCAAGAAGCAATACGTCTTCATACAACTTCCTGTGCCCTTTAAAAACCTACTTTTCATCGATGAAATGGTGTTATACATTATCACATTAAAGACAGTAATTTCAAATTGTTGAACAATACTTCGTCCTCCATTTGCTTAATTTTTCGGCATCTTCTAGCAGGCAATTTTATAATTAAACCACAACCCAGCCTTTCTAGTTTCTTTCTGCAATCCATTGCAAACAATTTTGATGCATTAAATATTAAATCAAAGTTTCTACAAATGGCTTTTAAAGAGCTTGTAACCTACCTAACCATATTATATGCTAGGATGTAATCCAATCCTTTAGTTGGCAAATATTTCATTACTGGATCAGTATACTGAAATATTGTTAAATATAAATGAGCAGACAAAATTATTCTAAATGTTATTTTTGTTCAGAATAAATTTTGCCATTTCTCATATCTGTGCACTTTGTTGGAAGCAATACTTTTAGTGCAAATATTAATTCTACGTATAAACAATTATCTTTCCAATCGAACCTGTCAAAAATTTGTTTTAGGGCATCTCTTTTCTCGAAGTTTCTCTGAACCTCCTTTGATTTTTGTTTATTCATTCTACGCACCTAAAAAGTAATGTAAAAAAATGTAACTGAAATATTTTTTTGTCATCAACTTAACATTATTCAGTGACACAGTAAAATTCGCTAGAGAGTCTTTTTTAATTACAGTTATGATACAATATTTTCAGTTTCACAATTAAATTAGAACAAAACTGTACTGTATTTTCATAAATCTACTTTATGACTGTCAACGCTCTCTTGACCCCTATCGACTCTACTACTAGGCTCTACTCTACCTACAGCTACCATATCTCATGCAAGTTTGAGTGTGATATGCAGTCCATGCATCCACGTCTTTTTTATGTGCAGAGTTCTCTCGCCGAGTCATCTGCGTCGATTCGATTGTTCAAGTTTCTCGATCAACCCGAAATCGCTGCAGCCCAACAGTCACGTGCCTGGTCGCTCCCCGGTCCTAATCGCTATTGATTGATAGGTCATTTAGCATAACCCAGGAGATTGGGAACTTGTATGTCCCAATTTCCACCAATGCTAGGAAATGGCAACATGAGGTAACAGTAAAAACCAACAGACTGGAAGATGTATAAGTGAGTATCACACCTCATGACTACTACATTGTTAACGAGATATCAGTTAGAAAATGTGGCAGCCTTTTACATTGTGTCATGAACAGCTGTACAGCGATATTATACATAATGTTTAATATGTGTGATACCGAATTTGTGAAATTCTCTGATGTTTTCAAATGAAAACAGATTGCTGTGTACATGGAAGAACAACAGTTTTGTTTTTCCCATTTCACAGCAATCTTTCTGCTTCAGAAACATCAGAAATTTGCACAAATTTAGTTTTGTGCAAAATAAATATTATACATAAAATGGTTATTTTTTCATGAAGCTTTTTATATCATTAGAGTTGCTGCCATAATGATACAAAAATTCAGATTCATTTATGTTCAATGCTAAAGGATGCCCTGTTAAAAGATATATACCCTTTTTTTTATTTAAAACCCACAGTGCAATATGCTTTTTAAACAAGTATTAATGCTAAAATTTTTCTTTTCATTGCATTCATCATTCAGTATATTTCAATATTTAGCACCAAATATGAGACTACCTAATAAAAAATACCAACCAAAAACAATAAGGTGGTGTGGTGTATTTAAATACGGCAAAGCACACTAGGGCTATCTGCCTAAGGGGAGGGATGCCTTCGTGGAGGACTTTCTAAGGGAAACTGGCTCGCATACACGTTACACATGGGGAAAACCACGAAAACACCCATGCAGCCAGCCCGTTCGTGGGATTCGAACCTCGGACCGAACTACCAGTGTTCAGCGACTTTACCGCTCGGCCGCTGGTGGGCCTCAAAAACAATAAGGAAAATCAAAATGTAAGCTTACAAAATTTTGTCTCATATATATATATATATATATGAAATAATAAAAGCATAAGGAAAAAGTCGGAACACTGTTGATGCGTAGTTATGCTATACTGAAGAGGAAGTATTCTGATTGCATTGTAAGCTAATGTTTTGACTTCATAAATAAAACTTAGCAGTCGAGGCGATTTTAATTAAATTTTTACTTGCAACTGATATTTTTGGCTACAATCACTTGGCACTCTAGTCGTGCCTTTCCACAGAAGATTTACATTTTTGATAATGTTGAGATAGAAAGCAAGCCAGTAAAATTACACCTTAGCAGAGTAGAGAGCAACGCTGAAGTGCATAGTTATGCAAGATGGAAGCACGGAGAGAGAAAAGTTTTGGTTTGCAATTTGGTGATTGGTCAAGAGACATCTGCAAAGGGTTACATAAGATCGCATGATAAATTTGAATGATGCAGTTTAGACTTACAGCACTATTTTTAGAATACAGCGATGAAGTTCCCAAATGAAATATAAAATAAAAGAGGTTACAGTGAATTAAATTTAGAAGTTTGCTTTCATATTTTTTATCTTACATATATATATATATGTATAATATGTGACTAAGCTGCAACCCTCCTGGCCAATAGTAAGTCGCCTCATGATTAACACAGCACACCCAACACAACATACACTCAAGGTATTGCATTCTGATACTAAACTAAGTGTTGTAACAGCACTGACAGGCCATGGCCTGCAGTACCCCCAATAGCTGCTTCCTGACTGAGAGCCTGGGGTGCATGAGCATATGCCTAGACAAGTTGTTAGCTTGTTGCAGAACCCCCATTGTTTAGTCTCCATGCGAACTTGGCACTCATTTTATCAACCCATTCAAGGGAGAAAAGGTTGACTTAACCCTGCCCAGCCCAGGGATCGAAACCCGGTTCTGTTGTGCTGCTATGCAATGTGCCACCGGGCCTTTATTACATTTTAATAGCAGTTTGAAAAATAATTTTATTTCACAAAATGTCTGTCATATACTCAATAATTCTCAAATAATATAAAGTGAATGCAGTACAATAAAAATACAGAGGCTTCACAAAATTTGTGAAACATATTTTAAATTAACAAAATTAAGTAAATACCTTCATTACACATTCCATTAGTGGGACTCGTACAGATTGATTTCCATCTAGTGATACAACAACAGCTTCTGAATCAGGAGTAGCTTCTAATAAAGCAAGAACAGCTTCAGCTCCCATTCTTGAGCCCTTATGATGAATTATATTGAAATTATATTTGAAATCAGTATTGTGACATAATATATCAGCAAAATTAAAATATAGCATTTTTTCAGTAGATGAAATTTAAGGCTTATTTAACATTTCAAATTCACTTTTAATGCATTAGTAAAAAATGGCAAAATAATCTATCTTATGGGCATGTATTTTCTACAAACAGAACAGAATGAAACTGAAATGCCTTTTCCAAACAAATATTTTGCTCCTACAAATAAAATCTAGATAAGGCTACCATCTTAAAATGATATTTAAAAATGTAAAATTATTATTACAGCAAAAGAAGATAAACTGTAGTGTAAGATTGACCCTACAATATTGTTGAAGGAAAAGTTCTTCCCTCTTGGTTTAAAAACCAGAAAAAACTTTATGTGAATAAATGAATATCTTTACATTAGAAAATTCAAAATAAACTCCTTATGAATTTTAGGTTAATAACAAAATCAAGTGCATTGTTCTATCTATAACAAAAAGCAAACAATTTATACTGAATTTTACATGATGCAAGAAATTATAGACAACTTTAAATTAATAAATTCTACTATTATACATTATTTAGAATAAGAAGTAAAAAAATTGGTTTTGCACCTATAAATTTTCAAACAACTTACTAAAATTCGATCAAAAGCAGATGGACTGCCTCCTCTCTGTACATGACCTAGCACTGTAACCCTTGTGTCTTGTTGAAGATTATCCACAATAATCTATAAAACATTTCCATAAATATTAAAAGATACTTAAAAATGTCATAACATGAAGAATAATATTGGAAAAAAAGTTAATACAGCTAAAACCTAAAAAAAAAAGCATATTTTGAAATCTGTACTAGTGGTATAGATTTAATAAGAGGAGTGATAAAAGCTTAATTGAGATTTTCTTCTAATTTCAAACTGAATTAAATTAATATACATATTCATAAATAGAACACTTTATTTCCAACTTATATTCAAGTATGGCATGCTTTCAAAATAAAATGCTTCAACCATATTTGCCCGTCAGATGCAAAATGATCCTAACATGAAAACACTTCGATATGCTTGCGAGACAAACTAAAGCACAAAAATCTCAAGATAATTATAGATTAAAAAATATTAAGAAATAGCAGTATAAAAAGGAATAAGTTAAAAATTGGAACTATCAAATTATTAATTATCGGATTTTTTTTAATAGAGCAGTTATAAACAAAGATTTATAACTTGGACAAATAAAGGCATCTAAATTTGCAACTAAAAATCAAAATTATTTATATTTAATTATTTTGTATTATTTATTTCCATAACATTTTGTAAAATCTAATAAATTTGCAAATAGTAATGTCACAGAAAATCTATTATTATTCAAAGAGTTATGATGCACTTACTTTTTTCACCAAATCTGCAGTAATTGCCCTGCCTTCCCTATCCATAGCACCTTCAGCAACAAGAATGATGTTTAAACGTTGCCCAGAATCACGCTCCTATATGCAATTTTTTATATTTAATATTAAAAATAGAATTAACACAGTGAACATTCTTTGAGACTAAAAATACATAATCATATAAACATACAATTTTAAACTCTTCTTTCAAGACAAAAAATAATGTTTTTTTTCATTCAAAAATATATTTGAAGATTTCTTGATTTAGTGCAAAAGATATCACATTAATAAGCATATTGCCTGCATTTTTCTTTTGCTAATTTTATTTCCTGCAAACCAAGAAGGGAAAATTATGGAAGTGTATGCATTCTCACAATTTTCTTTCATAAGTGGTGTTATAAGGTATTTTCTCTTCTCCCTTATTCTGGCATGCCTTCGTGATGAAACGGTTAGCACACTTGGTGCATATTCGAGAGGTTAAGGTTTGAGTACCACGAGAGCATTGCTCATTGTTCATGTTGCCTGCTTTTAAATTAACCTGATGACTATAGTGGTGCCCAAACTAAAAAAAATGGCGGATGATGAGTTTCCCCACCAAGATTTGACAATTGGATCCCTTAATCCCCAGTCAACCTTTAAAAGGGAGAGTATATATGGTATTTTCCTTTTTCCCTTCTTATGGCATGCCTTCGTGATGTAACGGTTAGCCCATTCGGGTCGTATTTGAGACGTTCAGGTTTGAGTTCTGGCGAGGGCATTGCTCATTTTTCCAGTCTCCTACTTTCAAAATAACCTAATACCTCTATAGTATATATGATATTATGGGAGAAAAGTATGGGAGTGTACTGAATTTCAGTGATCATTTAAATATGGGGTAGAAAAAGTTGCACTGCAAGATAAAGATTATATTATGAAGTGACAAAGTCTCTTGAAGGTTGCCCATTTCTATTTAATTATGAGAATTTCTACATTTTAAAAATTTGTGTGGGATCAAAGATCTCTTAATTCAATATAAAAGTTTAGTTTAAAAACATTTTAGGAAATAATGCAACTATTTTTTTTTCCAAAAGACTAAACATATACTTCAATGTTTTTATTTTCTTTTAAGATTATTACTGGGTTGCTCAAAAAGTGCGCCCTCTATTTTGGAGTTTCACATTACGAGTGGATTTGATGTTGAACATGGCACTGTGATGATTGAAATTCTCAGCCAGTAAAGCGTGTAGACAGATAGCATATAAATGGAACATGCTTGTAAGAGTAAACCTTTTAATAAAATAATTTCAAATGTTTTAAAATAACAATGAATGAGGACTATATCAGACATTGTTTGCTGTAGGTGTTTGATAGAGACAGTACTGCAGCTCTACTATGACAAAACATTTCTCAGATGTACAGGACAATACATTTAGCAACAGTACATGTTAATGCTGGTTTAAAAATTCAGGGATGGAGACAGAAGCTGTACAAATCAACTATGTTCTGAATGTCTATCAGTGGTTTCTGAGCAGATTCTGGACAAGCCATACAAAATGCATCCCATGCAAACGTTGAAGAATTACTAAAATGCTACTTGTATCCAAAACAACAGTTTAAATATGAATGGATGTATTTGGGTTCATCAAACGGCTGGATCAGTGTATTCCATACCAACTTTCAGTAAATCAACAACAGGTGAGAAACAGTACCTGTCTTTTTATGCTTTCTTCAGAAAAGCAAAATAAAGCTTTGCTTTGTTTCAGAAATAAACCATTATTTGAATGAATTATGTCAGGTTGTAAGGACTTATTTACTTTTATCTAACCAGTTATTTTACATTCAATATCTTTACTGTCATTCTTGCTTTCCATTTTCCTGCAAGAATGCACATTTTAGTTTGCACATATTCATATGAGGTAGAAAGAGATAGTATTTAAATGAAAGGTTTTGGATGATTTGATCAGAAGGCTACACTGCTAGTTGAATCTCTTAGATAGTAGCATTGCATTATTCTTGCCATTATGGCTTTTTACACTGTCATAGGTTTGATTCAACTTGTGCGTTATTCACTCTGCATAGCCTTTGGATAACTTATTTTAGTTTAAATTAAATTCATCACTTTTTGAGTATGCCATAAATGCTTGCTAATTTTGCAAGCACAAGTTTTCTCTGTCTGATTACTGGACATTGTTATAAATCACTTAGTTTGAGTTTGAGTCGAAATTAGTTCATACTTCCAAAGAAGCCGAGACTCTTCAAGGTCATGAGAAGTGGATTTTCTGCAATAATGTTAAAAGTTTCAGGACTGTTCAAGTATCACAGTCTGCTCCTTCTCACATCAAGGAAAGAACTACATCCCAAACAGGTTCTGTTAAGTGTATAGTGGGGTATGGTAGAATTAGCTCCCCATGTGACTAAAACTCTAATGCTGACACGTACAGTCAGCTGATGAGCAAATTGAGGCAAAAGCTTATACTTAACCGGCCAGAACTTTATTAATCACCAAGACATTATCTATCAACATAAGAACTCCAGATCTCATGCTCCTTCAATCATATGGAAAGAAAAATGATAAGCTTAGATTGGTAAATTTTACCTTATCCTCAAACTGCCATCTTTTTCAAACATTACAGGGTTCACTGACCCATAAACCTTTAAACTTAAGATGGTGCAAAAAAAAAAAAAAAAAAAAAAAAAAAACATGAAAAATAACATTACAAGATTTTTTTTTTTTTTTTTTAATTCTAAACCAGAGGAATTTTACTGATGAGAGATCATACTACAAGGTAGATAGCAAGAGCTGTACTAATTACTGAAAATCATGCAAATATATGAATGTAACTTTTTTATTTGCTCTTCTTTTTCACTTCAATAAATAATAATTAAAAAAATGGACAACTTTTGTATTAACCCAGTTTTAAATTTAAAAAAGATGATCATGAAATATTAAAAAGACCTTGAAAATACTTATTTGTATATAAGATAGATTACAATAATTACTGCATGATTGTTTAGATTATCATTATTTGTTTTACAGCATGTTCTTTTGTCAAGTAACTTAAGAATATTGCGGAGCTTGCTAACTATCCAACCGAGGTGCTAAGCTCAAGGTTACTAGGTTTACAATAGTAAAATAAAAAGCAAAAAGCATACAGTCAGATCATGTAATAATATATATACTTTTAAATAGCTTCTTTATTGAATTCAGAGAATAAAAGATATGGATATCTTAACTTTTCACAGAGAGTTTATAATCAGAAATTTAGAAGGCAGGATAAAGAGCAAATGATGTGAATTATTTGCTCACCATTTTTAACTTTTCACACATAGTTTCTGGCCAGTTAGCCTCTGGAGGCCATTCAGGAATGAAAACAAAATCTGCCTCACTAGCAAGTGCACCAACAAGAGCTAAATATCTATGAAAAATATCTAAAGTTAGATTTAATCAAAAATTCAGCTATCATCAGAAGGGAGAAAACTTAATTACATACCCACAATGCCGTCCCATGACTTCTAAAATGAAAGTACGTTGATGGCTGAAAGAATTAAAAATGTTCAAAACTATACAAGTTAAAAAAAATAAACAGACAATTTCATAACTCTTATACCAATTCAAATTCTGCAAATTTATGACAATCAATTTATAATACAATATTTAACCTGGAAGCAGTTGTAACAATAGCATCAATAGCTTCCATAATCCTATGCAAAGCTGAATCTGTTCCAATAGTCATGTCAGTTCCACAGAAATCATTATCGATTGAGCCAACCATTCCCACAATGTTCAGATGACTACATTGTGCTTTTTTCTCTGCCGTAATTTGACCTAAAATAAATATCTTTATTACATAGTGTCAACATATCGATACACACCAGTTTTATTTTATATTCTATCACTATATTGATATATATAACATACCATTTCAAAATTACATTGTACTTCTTAAAAATATTCCTCATATTCGTCTCTTAGAAGTAATAACGGTTTTAAATTCTGATCATCTTCCAGTGAACTTTGATTTTATGGCTTTTATCCCCCGTTAAAGAAACACAGAACTAAGATAAATTGGACCCAATTCTCTGATACTATGAAAGACTATAATTACAGAAATAATTATAATCATTGCGGTGATATCGAAGATGAAATTTATATATTCACCACTAAAATGAAAGATGCAATCAATAATGCGACTTATCCCAACAAAAGCACTAATTTTCTCTCCCTTCCTAAATATATAAAATGATATTATTGCAGAGAAGAATAGAAAACATAAGGAATGGCAGCGGTCCGGAGACCCGTCGTGCCAAAAGGCACATCAACGTTTTAAACAGGAAAATCAAGCATGAAATTATGGAATTCAGAAACAAAAAATGGGACTTTCTCCTATCAAACCTGGATCCTCAAGATCAAGCAGTATGGAAAATTGCTAAATCTCTAAGAAATAGCAGACCAAATCAAACTCATGCAATTCATCACATGGGAATCTCCTATCAATCTGAGGACGAGATTGCTAATATAATTGCTAATGAATTAGAAAAAATCTTTCAACCTCACCCGCCTGAGAATAACGAGATTGCTAATATAATGGCTAATGAATTAGAAAAAATCTTTCAATCCTCACCCGCCTGAGAATAACTCCCAAGAAGAAGAAGTTAATTTTACCATTGACAGTATTAACAATTATCCTATAACAAATTTCATTCCCTTTACTTCACTAAGAGAAGTAAGAGAAATTATTCACAAACTCAAGCCAAGGAAAGCCAAAGGCTATGATCAAATTAGCAATGAAGCACTTCCTAGATGTTGTATTACTAACATAGTCAATATTTTTTAATGCCTGCATCCGAAATAATTATTTCCCTCAGCAATGGAAACACTCAATAATAGTCAATATCTTAAAACCAAAGAAAGATCCTAAGCTTGTCACTTCCTACAGACCTATCAGTCTTTTACCTTCATTAAAAAAGTATTTGAGAAAATCCTCTGCTCAAGGCTCACTAACCATCTCGAAAGACTCAATTTAATAGATGATCTGCAATTCGGCTTCCGCAGTGGACACTGCACGACTCATCAAATTCTCAATTTGGTGGAATTTGTTTCGCAAGCCTTTACTAAGGAAAACGGGGTGGCTGCATGCTATCTTGACTTCGAAAAGGCCTTTGATAGAGTGTGGCATGCAGGCCTCCTGCATAAATTGAATAATTTTATGCTTCCAAACAGTTTTGTAAAACTCATTAGTTCCTATCTGAAAAACAGAACTTTTCAAGTTCGCTACAGTGACGGCTTATCTGTCAGAAAAAGAATTCACAGCGGGGTCCCGCAAGGATCCGTTCTTTCCCCCCGGCTCTATAATGTTTATATCAATGATTTCCCGCACCCATTCAACACGAAAATACTCAAATACGCTGACGACACTGTAGTACTGACTTAATCCAGAAGTCCTCAGCTCGCTCTAAGTAATTTACAAATGCATCTCAATATGATCAATCACTGGTGCAAGACTTGGAAAAATTAAGCTCAACGCCTCTAAATGTTGTATTGTGCTCTATCGGAGATACAAAACAAGATTAAGAGTCAATACTGATATCTACTTAGATAGAACTCTAATCCCTGTAGCTAATTCCTATAAATATTTAGGTGTTTACATAGATAAGTCTCTCAACTTCAAAGATCATATTTCTTACATCTTAAACAAAGCAAATGCAGCCTACATGGCAATTTATCCTATTATCGGCCAAAAAAAAAAAAAAATCAAAGCTCAGTCTAAAAATAAAGAAAATGCTTTACATATCTCTAATTCGACCGATCATGCTATATGCAGTGCCGGCCTGGGCAATCGCCAATAAAACTGAGAGCAAAAAAACTGGATATACTTCAAAATAAAATTCTACGTAGCATTGTGAATGCACCTTGGTACGTGAGAAACTCTATAATTCATAACGACCTGTATATTCCATCTGTGCATAACTTTATACTCATGACAGCTCACAACTTCTTCGAGAAGATGAAGCATAGTCAGTATAACGCAATTAAACAAATGTTGGAATTATGATCCAACCCATTTGAATACACTGTCAAACGCCCAAGGACAATTCATCACAATTCGTCATGGTGGTAACTTGTAAATACTGTAAATATTTTAATTTTAAAATTTACTTGAACTCTGAATGTTTTTCGACCGGCCACAGGTTGAACTTTGCTTAATTTTTTCCGATAGAGAAATTGGACTCCTATTATTTGTGTTGCATCTTATCATGCTTATGTTAATCAAGAAAATTTTTTATTCAAGATTTTTATGTTACTATTTCATTTTTAAAATTATTTTGTATGAATTTTTACTTTATCATATGATTCTACGATCTTTTGAACTTTTTACGGCCTATCTAGCTACTGCATACTTCTGAAGGACTTTGAACTCTTATGCCATTCACAGCTTCAAACTGTCTTCGTGCCATTTTCATGATGTCTCACTATTGCTTATCCTGCACTCTTACTAGCTATATTGCACTCACCACCTGCATTTGCCATACAACTCACTAAACCTGCCTGCATGCTTCAATTTAATGCCATTACTTACCACTGCACAATTTTTATGATGAATGCCTACTTTCATAAGAATTAAGATATGCCTGCTCATGCAGCTGAATTTTGTTCGCCCACGGGTGTTGGTATTTCCCTAGTACCATTTATTTGAAAATATCTTTGCCTAGTGCACTTTAATGCAATCTACTGTCGAAAACTCTTTAATAGTTAATGACCAGAAAAAAGTAAGTCATAAGTCATTTCAAAATTGTTTCACTTTGTGGACTTAAAAAAAAGAAGAAGAAATCTGAAAGGATTCAGATTGGGTCGGGATGAAGGTCGACTCAGCCTTTCATCCCTTGATTTCCATCCCTTGGGTCGATAAAATGAGTACCAAGTTCGCTTGGGGACTAAACACTGGGGGTCTTGTGACAATCTGACCACTTATTCAGGGCATATGCTTATGCACCCCGTGGCCCACGGTCAAGAATCAGATTTTGGGGCACTGCAGGCCTTGGCCCATTAGGGCTGTTTATGCCACTGAGTTTAGTTCCGAGTTCTGAATCAAGCTCTTTGGAATTCTTTCATCATTTATCAGTCAGGCAGTGGAAAATGTAATATGGACTACAGAAGCTGAATCGCGGAACAAATAATTGAAGATAAACATTCAGCTGACAGGACCAGGGTGTCCTAATGTCAACTTGGTACGACTTACAGGTCAACACTTTCCTGAATACATTCCATCAATGCAGAAAAAGACTACTCCAACCAGACAATGTTTCCTTTGTTTTCATAAAACTAATGAAACGGGAGAGAGGACACAATGCCAGACTAGAGTTTATTGTAAAGACTGACGTTGGCTTGTGTACTATGCCATGTTTTCGTATATACTATGAAAGATTTCTTAAATTCAAAGAGAATATGGGGGATTTGGAATTCATGACAGTTGATATAAATAATAATATTGCTGTATTATTTAATTATATTTATCTTGAAGATTATGTCATTTGATTTATTTTGCTGTAATTTGAGCAAAAATTACTGCAATCTATTAACATTTCCCATATATGTGAAAATCTTGAATATAGTAGTTATTTCATTTAAAATGTTCTTTTTTAAAAAAATAACTATTTCTAACATTTTAATTATAATAACAAACAAAATTAAAGGGAAAAACATTTCCATTTTTTGCCCATTTTTCTCAAATATGTTCCACAGGCAAGGTGTTAAACTTATGCCACATAAAATTCAACAAAATATCACAAATATTTAAAAATAGCATATCTTTAGAATTTCTAGTTGAGTATTAAGTGCTGCAACACATTTTTTTTTTAATTTACTGTATTATTTCTTTAAAAATAATACATGGCAATAACATTTGGTAAATATATCCTTTTATTTGTCCTGCCGTATATATCATTTTTATTCACTACACTTATTTCTTTAAAAATAATACACAGCGATAACATTTGCTGTGTATTATTTGTGTTGCCATAGGTTTTTTTATATTCAGTGTATTATTTCTTTAATGATAATATATAGCAGTAACATTTAGTGGCTACATCCTTTTATTTGTATTGCCATTTTTTTATGTTTGCTATATTATTTCTTTAAAAATAATACATGGTGATGCCATTTGGTGGCAACATCCCTTTAAGCAACAAATTCAGAATCCAGACTAATCCCATCTCTGGGGCTAATTACTTTAAAGTTATTTGTCTTGGAAGAAATGATTTTCATAGAGGTTTTCATAAAGAAACTTCATTATTTATATTACATATTAGGAAAACCATGAGAAACACACAATTGGCTATTCTAACACCGTGAAGTAATCCCAGGATGAAACATTTGGTATTCAGCATCTCTTCACAGAAAGAGCATTTGATCCTGAATTTGCAAATTTTGCACAATTATACAGGAATTTAAATTGAACATTTTCAAAAATGCCTAGAGATGACTACAAAATAAGGATAATGGATAAAAATTGCTAAATATGATGCATGAAACAAATAGCACTAAATATTATAAAAATTCTAGCTTTTTCAAAAGTTTCAAACTAAAAATATTAGATAATATTTTAAGAATACTTTAGATTTCAGATTAAGGCTAAAGTATACTTCCTTAAATGAATAACTCAGTAATAAGAGATATAATATGAATCAAACCCTTTTATTTGGGTCACAGCAAAATGTTAATGAAGAAAATTCACAAAGCATACCCTTGGTTACAAGTTCATCCAAGAGTGACGACCAATCTTGACGAAACTGATTAGCTCCGGTTAAACTGCCATCACCACCAATCACCACAAGATTAGTGATACCATTTTTGACAAGATTTAGAGCAGCTTTTAGACGTCCTTCTCGTCCCCTAAAATCTTGACATCTGGCACTCCCTATTACAGTACCACCCTAAAATTAACCACAAATTAAAATTAATAATTTCCATGATAAAATGACAGAACCTTTCAGTATTTTTTTTTTTTCTTCTTCCCCTCCAAATCCAGTTCAAACATAAAATGTTTTAAAGAATTATTACTTTATAAACTTACAACAAAAATTACTTTACAAAAAAAAAAAAAAAAAAAAAAAAAAAAAAATATATATATATATATATATATATATATATATATTAGCAAAATTGAAAACTTTTATAAAAATAACAAGGGGAAAAACTGTTATTATAAAAGTGAATTAGTTTTATTTATTATCTTTAGCTATTTTAATAATTTATATTTAGCACAGTCAAAGAATACAGAATTTTATTAATTTCACAAGTTAAAATAATGATTAAAAATTCTAGTTGGGTTTCTGGGTCATAAATTCCATTCTTTAAGTACATTTTACATCAATCATTAATTAATATATATCTGAATAAAGATTGTATTTACTTAAAAATAAGATTCTTTGCATTTTAGGAAATTATTCTCAGAACAAATGGAGAATTCGAATCAGGACAATCAAACTGCAGACATTGCAATTGAGTCTCTATCATCCTCTTCTAGTGATGAATTAGGTTTTAAGAAATATTTTTGGATAATATTAAAAAGGCTAAGGCAACGTGAATGAAAATAAAGAACCAAGAGCCTTTAGATATAAAAATGAAAAAATACAAACAAGATTTCTACATGGCCTTTAAAGAAATAGAAAAATATGATTGCACTTGCAAGACACCTCTTTTAGAACTTATAAAAATCTATCCTGAAAAGTTACAAGAAGTAGCCCAAACAGTAACAGTTCTTCCTCCTGCTCAAGTTAGTGTGGAAAGTTCTCAGCTCTGAAGTTTATCAAATCAGATCTATGGGCCTCCAACAAAGAAGAACTTGCCGAAGCTATACTGCTTCTTAGAAATAACTCATGCCAGTTTTTCTATTTCATAATAAATGTTAATATAAATAATTTGTTATGCCATCAATATTTTTCTGTAGCATCTATTACTTCTTTTATATTAAAAAAATAAGCTGTAACCCATGTGTATATGTTTACATATATATATAATAATTTATTTCCTAAATAATTTATTTCCTAAATGAATTTAAGATCATACAACATTATATATATATGCATGTATGAGGGAATCAGAGTAGAGTCGGAGTGATTAAAATTCCAGGACTCCACAGCCCTGTAGTTAACTCCTTCATGTTTTTAATCTCTAGTTTCTTTGTTTTCCAGAAATTATACCAGAGTTCCCTATCTAACTGTCAAAAGTTTTCAAATTAACAAAAATCATGAAAGCATTCGACTTTTTTGGTAAATTCTTTCACTGACATCTTTCGCTGCAGTTTTCAGATAACCGGCCCTTGGCAATTTGTTGACATCTAGGGAGAGTTCGTATGCGCCAGATTATGGTAACCCTGACAAGCGTTACAAACCTGCAACCCACTCAGAGAATTTTCCTGAAGGACGAAAAGGGATTTTTTCTGTTTACATAGATTTAGGAAGCGTTACAGCAAGACAAAATAGAAGTTGGAAAATCGCAAATCATAACTAGTTCATATTTTCGCAAATCATCATCGGGTGTTAATTTCAGTTGAAAAAAAAAAAAAAAAAAGCTCTATTCTTTATTATTTATATAAGGGTACAGTTCTTGATTGTTTTTATGACATATTTCTTTTAGCTTTAATGTATGAAACTGTATTTTGTAATCCTGTTTTCAAATATGCGATTTGCAGAAAAATCTAATTTTTTGCACTTTCTGTATTTCGATCTTAACACATAAGAATTATACTTAATGAAACTTAAGTCTAAAGTGATTTCAGGCTTAAAGTATTTTTTAAAGCAAATATTACATATATTATAGTCATTAGATCAATTAAGAAGTATTAAATAATGGAAAAAAACAAGAATATTAAAATTTTAATGTTTAGTTTCTTTTGATCATCTACATTAAATTAATCACATTGAATGCAATTCAATTAATTTAATTTATATCTCATAAACTTGTGCTCAGCAAAAAATATTATAATCATCAGTATGTCAGCATAAATTGGGGTAAGTTAAATTTTGTCTTGTTCGTTGCATGTTTGGTAGTTCAGAATTGTTTTCCCTCTCTGAATTCCCTCGGACATGGATAACAATTTTGGCCGCCATCTAGGATCAAGATGGCGGCCGAAAAATCGCCAAAGGCAGGTTATCTGAAACGTGCCTCTTTAGCATAGCCACAGGATGTAATAACAAAGAAAATGCTTGTAATAACAAAAATGTAATAACGAAGATTCTCCAGCAATAATTAACAATTGCTGGAGAATCTTTCTTCCAGTGATAGTATTAAGGAATCCAGATAAGGGGTATTAAGAGACCTTTTCCAGAATTCATCGGTTGTAGATGCTGGAGGATTTGAGAAATGTTTTTACAGTTTTACAATTCTCGATGCTTGCAATTCAGTGCCAATGCCCTCAGCCATAGCACTTGCGAAAGACATAATTTCGTGGCATAAAACATCTACTCTACAATGTTCTTTTACAAGCATTAAAATTCTGTTTATGTAGTTTACATATTGTAGTATATTTAAATGTTTGAACTATAAAATATTTGCCACAGGTTTTAAGAGAGCTGAATATTTTGCTATTAGTCCTACGTACATGATAAATTCAGATTTCGTCACAGCACAATGTAATTAGAAAGGAGTTTTCCTGATAAATGCATTCCCTTCTTTTGATAACTTTTCCAGTCCCTGTACTATGTATATAAAATGCTTTTTAAATATACTAATACTTCTACATTTCTGAGATCAGCATATGTCACATAAATTTGGAATATTTACTATATATCTTGTTTGTAGAACAGATTCGAGAAAAAAGTTTATCATATCCTTTACAGTAGCAATAGTATTTCCGATAGGCAGTTAAAATCATTCAAAACTAAATTTATTTTGTGACTGGCACAAAGGGAAAACAAGGTTTAGTTGAAATAATATATAAAAAAAGCTGTACTCGTTTGGGGGAGTGCAAGTTCACCTTCCTGCACTCCATGGATATGTATGAAAAACAGTGCAAGAATTAGGAGAAATATCCTCAAGACGATGCAGCAGTCAATTAAAACTGCATCTAATAATATCTACTTCAGTGTGGTACTACTTGATTTTAATGGCACCCATCGTAAACCAACAAATTATGTAAATCGCATGAAATCATAGTACAGTACAAAGTCTGTAATCAGGACTCCATTATCTGGAATGATCTATAATCCGGACCTCAAAGCCACAATGCAGATAAAGCATTTATGCATGCGTGTTTAAACCGAGTGTCTACTACGCATGCATGTAAAGTGTTTACCCATGTAAAGTGTTTACCCATGCAAGTGATGGAGAGAAAATGAAAAAATTTCGATTGACAAGTTAATCGGTATTCTCGACACAGCAATTATAGGACTTGAACAGTGGAACTTGTAATTGAACAAGAAATTATGCCTGTTTATAGAATTAAAGAGAAAGTATTAGCACAAAAACGAAGACACTTAAACAACTTACATTGAAAGAAATGTTTAATAAGGTAAGCAAATAAATATTAAGCTTTTTTTTTTTTTGTAAATTTTGATACCCTTTAGATCATAATTGCTCTTTATTCCATAAATTAAGGTTTCATATTTTTTATTCTATAATTTCTGCATGCCATCTTACCAGATTTAAATTGATCTATAATTCGAAAAAACCCCTAATCCAGAATCGCCGAAGTCCCGAAGAGTCCAGATTATGGACTTTATAACTGTAGTCTTTCCAGTTTAAACATTCATGTAAAAAATGGCACTTTAACTTTTGATGTCTATTTGCTAAATTTGATGAACAACATATTATTATAATAGTCTTTTTTAATTTTAAACGCTAAAGAAATTGACAACTTTTAATTTACCAAGTGAGGAAGATGGCATATTATTTTTCCAGGAAAAAAAGGTACTTACAGAAAATCCCATCGACCATTTTTGCCTATTAAAGAAACGACTCTCAATATTATTGCTGTTAATTAAAAGCTAACTATATGTTCATTTTTTGTAGAAAATATTATATTGAAAAATTATTATAAATTTAATTTAACATTTCTTGTTTAAGTGACCACTTTGGGAAAATTTGGTGACATTTAAAATTAATTTGGTGAAAACTAGAAAACATCACAGCAATCTTTAAAAAACAAAATACTATATTCATATAATACACATAATGCTCAATGTGTACAATGCCAAGCCTGTGCATGATGCTGAATCTGCACAATTCTCTGATGTTGTTTTAAGTAAAACACCAGTTTGTTCATTCAATACAGCAATTTGCTTTCTCTTAAAAAACACTAGAGAACTGCACACATTACATCTTATATTATATATTATATGATGCATTGCTGTATTAAAAATTTACTCTTATTGTTATTATAAGTTATTACTGGTATTACAAGTTTGCCAATTCTGGTAAATGAACAAGAAGGAAGTACCTATAAATCTTTAAAAAAACATCACATAATATATTCAACTCTTACTTTATGAATGATGCCTGAAACACTAGCCCATGTTGCCTCTATTATATGATCACCTCCATCAACCATACCTTGGTAGCCTTCTTTTATAAAAAACACACGGCAACCTAGATAAAGACCCATCCTCACAACAGCCCGGACAGCTGCATTCATACCTGCAAGAAAAAGTGAAATTTGTTAAGACTACTTCCCTTTAAGCCAAATTTAGAAGAAATATTAGTACTTCCCTATAATAACGGCCTTCAAAATTTAATCACTAATCAACTGAGATGTAGCGTGTAGCGAGGTACAAGAACATGTGATGAGATATATTGGTTGATTAGCAATTCAAGCTTGGGGGCTGGTATAATAAAGAAGTACCTAAATATTTATATCTTTAAAATATTATTTTTATTATAGATATGAATTATTATACTTATCACTATTAAAAAAGTGTTTGAATGCAAAGAAATACTAATATTTATGTATACATTTCTACACATAATTGCTGAATAATAAGTTTGATGTTTCTAGAAAAAATTCATAGTAGAAAAAATATATTTCGACTGAAGTTTAGCTTAACCCTTAAGTACAGATGTTCATTTTCTGTTACATAAACAGAGAGGGGTTTCTCAGACTGCGCTCTATTTTATGCATTTTAAAAATACAAAATTTTTAAATAATGTACTATCGTTTTTATAAAAGCATCACAATACACTTTGCTTGTTATATTGAAGTAATTAATTCTTTTTAAAACTCTAAAATTAATGCATTAAAAATTAATTTTTAAATCGCATATCACACGCAAGATTTAATCAAATAAATAAAATAAACACTATTTACTTGCAAATGCATACAAACTAAATTATTTAATAATTTTTCTATCTACAGAATCTGGATTATATAAATAATACAAAAAATATAATATAAAGAATATTAACCTTTTAACTGTCATGCCCCAAATAATCTTGGGCACAGCACTGGTATTCCAAAATGTCACGCCCGAATATTACTCGGGCTATTTTTTTTTTTTGAGTGCATCGTATTGTTATACCCGAATATATATCGTGAGAAGTTTATTTCAGCTTCAGTTCAACAGGTGGCAGCATTTGACTGAAGGTTTCAAAGGATAGATGTTAAAGTTCAAAAGTGTGCAGCATTTTTTTGATTTTTTGACTTTGAGGCAAACATTTCATTTTTGGAATAAAAAAAAATTTACAATTTATGCACCTAAATCATAAAAATAACTTGACAGTTAAAAGGTTAAAAAAAACTGCAGCACATTATTTTAAGAAATTTCAACACAATTTTTGTAAATTCTCTTGACACATTCATTCAGATTCTTGAAACTGAAACATAAGTTTTTCTTCTCAGTCTAGGGGGGACGAAAAAAGCATGTTTTATGCTTTTTAGGGGTATCAGTTACATCTGAGCTGGAATAGACTCTGCTGGAAACTCCTAGCACTCTGTGAATGTGCATTTTTATTTCGTGGTTCACAGTTGGCTTTTGAAGCCTCCATATGTGGTTTTACTAATTCTGATGACAACTCCATCAAAAAGTCGAGTTTTTTTTTCAATTTGGCACCGTCTCTTAACAACTGATGTATTACATGTGTATTAATTCTACTTATATTAAGTAACCGAAAGAATATGGCCATTGCCTTGTTCTTCGGCTTGTAGAATGTTTAGAACATTTTTCATCCAATGCATCTACACCTCCTTTAGTCACACTGTAAAATGTTATTTCTGGTTTCTCAGCTTCAAGGTCTTCTGATTTTGAATGATGCATTGAAGAAATGAGAATAACACTTTTTAATTCTTGAGGCACATATGAAACGAGAGTCATTCTATTTGTGAATGCATAAAGGGAAGATCCTTCACTTTTCATTTTATTTGGAAAAATTCACCTGGTATTTCTCTCTTACTTTTTTTCATAGTATCAGCATATGCCAAACGTCTAGAGTTAAGTTCTTGTACAAGTTCGACACTCAAATATTAAGAAAGCCATCTCCCCCTCATGCCAGAAAAAAGTAATGTTAAACGCAGAGGTGAGGTCTATATGATCGCGCCCAGTTTTAAAAATTATTTTTAAAAAACTAATAGATACAGTTTAATGAAAGTTTAATGAAAATATTTTATGTCAACTTGAAAGTACTGAAAAGAATAATAACTATATAACTTATAAGCAGTTTTGTAGTTCTAAAATATTGGCGCGGTCATATAGACCTCACCTCTGTGTTTAAGGGTTAAAGATATTTCAAGTAAACCATATATTACACAATGGATGACAAAAGATAAAGTAATTAATAACTTGCATATGTAAAGCAGTCACAATACCAGCTAATTTTATTTACTTTTTAAGTATATAATTTTAACATATAGAATAAATATTTATATGAATTAGTTGTTTGATTTCAAATTAACGAGATTAAGTTTGAGCATAACAGACTGATATTTCACACACTCTAACAAGGACAAAAACTTGATCATTGTACTTGCATGTGTAATTTTGCAATTTTAAAAAATTTATTCTTTATCGGACCAATAATTAAAATCAATAAAAATTAAGTTTTTTTCACTATCACAAAACAAATTTAAAAGTAGATTTTTTACAAACAATATATAGTACAAAGCCTGAAATCCAGTATCACTGGGACTTAGGCTATTCTGGATTTTGGAAATTTCTGGATTTTCGATCAATTTAAATCTAGTAAGATGACATGTAAAAATTGCAAAATTAAAAATATGAAAAAACATTCATAAGCTTAAAAAAACCAAAATTTACAAAAAAAGCTTGATTTTTTTCCTTATACTAAACAATTCTATCATTGTAAATTGTGTGAAATCTGGAATTAATGAGACTTCAGCTATTCTAGATTTTGGAAATTTCTGGATTTTTGATCATCAATTTAAATTTAGTAAGATGACATATAGAAATGATAAATAACTTGCATATGTTAAGAGCTTAAAAAATCAGAATCCTCCTCAAAAATTTAATATTTGTTTCTTTTATTAAACATTTCTTTAAGTTATCTAACATCCAGAACTGTTGGCACTTTGGCTATTCCAGATTTTGAAAAATTCTTGATTTTTTATCATTCGCCTAAATCTAGTAAGATGACATGCAGAAATTACAAAATTAAAAGTATGAAATAATGAAGCATTTATGAGTTAAAAAAACCCACAATTTTTTTTTTTTTTACTAAACATTTCTATCAATATAAGTTCTTCAGGCTGATTTATTTTTTGTATTAATACTTTCTGTTAAATTTTACAGACATAATTTCTTGTTCATTTGCAAAGTTCCATTGTTCAAGTCCTGTAATTCAAATTAAACTGTTATACAAAATATTTTCATTCTCAGCAACCTTTTTGTCCGTTTCTTCAATATTGGTAGCAGAATTTTCTGGATTTAAAGCCATACTACAGACTTCCGATTACCATCAGTTAGCTGATCCATGATTGGGACACTGCCATCACTGAAAAATGTCTGTTATATACATATCATTGTTTATTATCATATCTCCACATTTCTTCTCAAATTCCATTAATTAGAAAATTTCCCCTTTTGTGATAACCGAAAAAAACTTTAAAATTGTGGTTATCATCATCATTACCATGAAGTATAGTAGCTGGCTAGAGATTTTATTAATCATATCTACTAAATTTTATTAATCATATCAATTCAGTTTTTCAAAATAACTTATTCTCTTAACTTCATGTGCTTAAGCAATTTTCTTACTTGTTCACAGCACGAATATATTTTATGTTTAAGAAGAATTTTTTGTTTCAGATCTTCAAAACTGATATTTTTTTAAATAAAAATAACACTGGTCTGAGGTCTGTTTTTGCCTAACTTTGTGTACAACTGATTATAAAAAAAAAAATTTCACATAATAAACTTACCCTGAGAATCTCCTCCACTTGTAAAAACACCTATAACACGTCCTTTCTGGCCTCCAGGTATCACAGACATGCCTTCCCGACTTACAGGTTCAGTCATGATGGAAATTTGAGACACAGTTGACTCTAAATTACTGCAATGCATATTTTTTATGATAAATCATTGCTAAAAAATACTAAACATTTTTAGGTATAAAAAATGTTTCACAATAAGCCATGCATTTTGAAATCATCTACAGTTTAAAATAATCACATTTAAATACTCACAAGCCAGATCTGTGAGAATAAAATTTCTACAAAAAGAAATAGATTATATAGGATTATGCTATCACCTGGATATTCATTCTGTTTATCATATCCCCAAATATCTCAATTGCTTACCAAAGAATTTATTCTATTTCTCCAATCACTATTAAAAAAAAGACACTTCCTTGTTATGAGTTCCTTTCTTGTTCCTGCCAGCCCAAAGGGGTATTTACTTTATAACAGCTATTAGGCTTCGTTCATACAGTGGTATAAATCTCACAGAGGTATAGTCATGAGGCATAAAATGTGGGAGTTCCGTTCATACCTGCGAGACAGGGTCCAAGGTCATAGTGAATTAGAGAAGTTAAATTTGTGCATACGTGGATGTGTCTACAGCTTCTCTGCGCTGTTTTCCCACTCAATTAGTTTCATGTGTTTGTTCTGATTCATTGACCCTTATACCAAGTCCGCATAAAGCTGAAAACTTCGAACTTTATGCCAAAACTCCTAAACTAGTTTTTGCAATGTAGGAAGGTCTGGTTCCCAGCAATTAAGATTGGCTTAAACCACTGACATTATACCACCATCCGATCAGCAATGTATCACTTTTCAAATTGCTGCCATCAAATACTATCGCCCTGTATTATATTGAAAGAAACTAAATAATGAAGAATTTGCATGAATGTATGCATATTTCTCACGTTATGAAAAGCAATGGTATCTAGAGTCAAATTTTGAATAACATAATCCTCCACCTGAACATGGGTACCTGAGAGCCCAAATTTGGTATTCTGAATTTGTTTTATTGTCTATTTCCTATTTTGTAAAACGTTAACGAATTTTTGATTAAACTCAACAATTTCAAAGCCAACAGTGGCAACACTGTATGCAACGAGACATTTTTAGCACATCTCTAGCACGTGAGAATGCCTGTCAGAGAATCTAAAGACATGCTGTTTTTAAATATTTTTAGTCCAAAGTGACATTAGCCCAAATGTTCTCAAAACATGCATGTGTCTGTAAATGAAAAAAATCTGAAAGCCTTCAGATTATATTATATTTTATTTATACTACTATTCTCTTATTATTTTCACTTATGGAAAAGGGAAAAATATTGATTTCAAAAGCCTATTTTCTATAAAGGTTCCCATACATGAGATACTATTAAATACCCTCTACTCCTTCCTAGAGAATCCTAGAAAAAGAATCAAGTTTATTCCTTTTACTCAAAGGTTCAATGCTAAGCAATTCCAATAAACAGCAACGTCTAGTTTAATTCATTTCAACTAGTAAAACTTTGTTAATTTAATGTGTTGTTACTCTTTGTTAGTTCAGTGTGTAATGCATTTAATAAGATTGTCAATATTCTTTGTTAGTGCATTTTATTATCATTTTATTAATTAGTTTCCTTTTGCATATCATTGTCCACATAAAAACATTCCGTGCAAAGCCTATCTAGTAAATTAATATTAGCAAATGCTCTAAAAGTTTGCTCTTGCATGTTTTCAAAGTCCAAAATTCATATCCAATTTTTGAATAACTTCAAATATTCTATCCAATTTGAATGCTATTTAAAAATTTAAACTACTAAACAAAAAGCAAAGATTTCTAATTTTTTTGAACAATTAAAAACTTAATAGAATTATGTTTATAATGATGATGATATCATCATCAGTCAGAGGAGTTTCTTTTCCACACATTAAATTTTGTGCTCAAATATTCAAGGTTTCAGCAATACCTAATGAAAATAAAATGTCCGTTTTCCCTGTAAGATTATATGAAATACTGTACTTGCTTAATTAAATAAACTTTTAAAATACTCTGCTATTTTTTTAAATTGATAATGATTAAAACATTTTTGTTATATTATGTAAGGATGTAAAATAATGAATTTTCCTATACAAAAAAAATTTTTGCGTTTTATGTTGGAATAAAATTTTTCATAATTTAATGTCTGCTATTCCTGATAAGGATTCTTATACTAAAATTTAAAAGAACTATTTAGTTTTATGAATTTAATAATATTATCAAATTAGGCAGAAAAAAAATAACTTAATTTATAAAAAAATAAAACAGTTACATGGTTTTCACCATATTTAATTCAGGAAAATAAATTTTAGCATATTTAAGTATTTTAAATAATCGTCCTGAATAAATGTAAGCAAAAAGGTGATATTTTTTTATTTCAAAACTATGCTTCAATATTGTACATTAGAAAATGAAAATAACTCAAGTCTTAAAAATTTCACTACTCAGTTTTATGCTTTTCTCTTGTGATGTCTTTCTGAAGGACAATAAAGATATGAAAGATTTTGATTTTCAAGCTCCTTCAGAATGGTATTTATATAGAAATACTTTTACATAAAATATGTAGGAAAAAAAAAAAAAAAAAAAAAAAAAAAAAAAAAAAGAAGGAAGGAAAGAAAGGAAAAAAAAAAAAAGAATTAAATTTTAATAATATAATTTCATATAATTTTTTTATGAATTTTTTCCTTTAAATATGTATATTATCACATTTATTACATAGATATAAAAGTCTATTAAAATAAGACTTACTCAGGTAAATTTTCCATTGTTAAAAATAAGTCCCCAAACACATGCAGAAAAACAAACAGAAATGCTTATATGGTGATTATATCATAATTAATGAAGCAATGGAAGGCAAATAACAGACCTATCAAATAGAATCAACTAAATATTAAAAAAAATTTGAATGGCCAAAAAATTAAAATAATTAGTTACAAAATAGAAACTACTATAATTAAAGAATAGCAACTTTTTTTAACGACAAACCTGAAAATTAGCAGCAATTTTTATTTTTGAACAATAGCTTCAAAACTAATAAAAGCGTACGTGCACGAGTCTTCAAGAACAAAAGCTGAAATTAAGTTTCGCATGCAATCCATTTGAGACACTAAAAGAAACAATATAATGAAAAAGAAATTTAAAAACTGACATGCAATCAAATTATTTAATATTTTAAAATTAAAATAAATTTTCAGTTGGGTTATTCACTAAGTTCTACATGTTAAATAAGAACTTAAACAAATGTATTTTTATAATTGTCGAATTTTAAATTATCCATTTTATTTATTGCATTGTATTTACTGCATATTTAAGATGCAAAAAAGATTTATAATATATTTTTATTTACCTAACATTAAATTTACATCCTTAGATTTAAATATAATGTCTCTCACATATATAAAATGTTAATTGCTCAATTTGATACTTTTCTCCAATGAATATAGATAATTAAAGTTCTTTTTTAAGAATGGAAAAGTATTATCAAGTAGTACTATCAACCACTGCAATGAATCTCATTCAAATATATTACTTCCAAGATATATAGCAAATACTGGAATTTTTGACATTAGTATTTGAATCACATATTTGCTATATAAAAGAATATCCTCAGAAAAGTGTCCAGCTAAAATTTTCACTTTTTTTTTTTTTTTTTTTTTTCTTAAAAATTATGTATGCTTTTCCCAAGTATGGATTTAAGACAACTCATTTGATTAAGCCATTTCCATCCATAAGAATACTTAAAAACGTAACTCCATTCATAAAATTTTTTGGCATATCCTAACATATCTTTACTTTATACACTTAGTGGCTAAGATTAGTAACATTTAAATGTTTTATATAACTGGAATAAGAAAGTAAAATGTATAAGAAAATTGTTCACTAGAAGACTACCCTGTATTTTTCTATTTGTTAAACTGCCATTTAACTAATAACAGGACCATATACACAGATGTATAAGTTTCTCCTGTTTTGCAAAAGAATAATTTAAATAGAAAAATGTTTGAGTCTTTATGAAAATCCTAAAAATCACATCAAATAATACTATATAATTAAAATAACACTAGAAAGAAAAATATGATAAATGCACTCGAATGAAATAGAAACAGTATAAGCACACTGTACTATTACTGGCCAAAATATTGGAAAAACAGGAAAGTGATCAGAAGACTTAGTTAGAAGTGGTGGTGTTGATAATAGTAAGATTCAGTAGTGGAAATAAAAGAAGATAATCTACTAACACGTTACCTTCATTAATACTTATTAGGTATCTATATCTATTATTTCCGTTCCTGTCTAACGAGTCAAATGTCAAAGTTTACCGTGGTTTTGACTGGGGATGTTTTCAAACTTTATCCTAAGAATTATTTCTATAGTTCAGTACTCTGTAGGCAATCAAAACATTTTGCAAAGCTATCCTAAACATGTATATTCTTTCATAAGTAATCATCACTGTCTGCAATTAATCCATTTTAAAAAAATGTACCAAATTATATTTCTTTTGCCTTATTCCCCCTCCCCTCTTGCAAAAACTAAAACCATTTTTGGATCTGTTTTTGGACAACAAAATTGGTAATAAGTAGTTTTATAAAAGATTAAAATGAAAATTTTTAAAACCAACAGATGCTTTTATTTTTTTAACTGATGCTGTTTTCAGAAATTTAAAACTGATTTAACTGATAAAAGCACAAGTTCTTATGTGACCTTCGACATTCAATCAAAGCAGGAACTGAAGTTCATAATCTTTCAAAAATTAACTTTAAATTTAACATCTTCAAAATAAGTTAAGAATGCATGAATATATGTATATATGCTAGTTATCTCTAACTGACTTATTTCTAGATTTTGCAACATTAACAATTTATCAACTCAATTTCACATTTGGCACTTGTGAATGATAAAGATATGAAGACAGAACAACTTTAGATAGGTTTTCATGATTCTATATGGAAATAAAATATGTCACAATATCATAGATGTTATATTTATGAATAGCACAGTAATGAAGATAGCAGGATTTAAAATAATTTTTCTTAATTTTAAATTTAACACTGAAGCATACAACAAATATCACTGAAGCATACAACAAATATCTAAAAATTAAATAAAGCTTAAAATAAAAAAACAATTGCTTAAAATTAAATAAAATTTCATCTTTGCTTATCACTGGCTTCAAATGCAATACTTGAATAAATTTCAAAAGATATTTAACACAGATATCTATGCATAGAAAACAATGAAACATATGTCTATCAATAACAAATATATATATATATTAATAGCATTAAACGTTAAAAGTAAATATTTTTGACATTTAAGAGAAGCTTTCAATTTCCTATTTTTTTTACATTATTTTAATTTATATGCCCCTCCCATTAAATATAGCAATATATACATAGTTTTTAAATATCCCTTCTTATTTATGGCTTATTTCATTAACACCATTTAAATTCAATTCACATTATCGGATATAACAATTTTATTTGTCTACCTCTAATATGTTTCAAATAGCAATATTTTTATTTTCTATCAATTGATTTCTGAGCTTGATGTACCCATCTTCATAATTTTACTTTATTCTTATTTTAAAATGCTTAACATAATGTTAAAAATAGACTTGTTTCAGTTTATTAAAAAAAAAAAAAAAAAGGGGGGGGGTAAAAGAAGAGGAAGAAATTAATATGTATTATAATTTCCTGTTAAATCAGGAAACTTAGCAGAAAATACATTACTTTTTTCTTAAAATCCTAGTAATGCATTCACCATATTAAATACTAAAAATAAAAGAAGAGAGAGAATATTTTATAATTTTGTAACCAATGAAAAAAGCAAATTTACATTAAATTTCAATTCTAACTATCTCAGAATACATAACATAAAATTGCATATTTTTGAAGTAAATAAAATTTTTGAATAATAGCACTTTTAATAACTCACATTGTTTATAATTTTTAAAAATAAATTATCATAAATTTTGCAAAATTATAAAACTTATTATACAACAAGGCTTTGCTGCACAAAATATTTGTTTAATCTAATTTTTTAATAGTTGCCAAAAATTATTATTTAAAATTTAACGCAAATCTCAAACAGCAAAGAAAAATTAAACAGAAACAAATTATCTCTTGCAGAAAATAAAAATTGCAAATTATGAAATAAAAAACAATCATGTAGAATATGTGAATTTTTTACCCCGTTTAAAAGTACACGGAAAGATAACGCATATAAAAATAAAAGAAAATAGAAGGGGCATATTACACTAACGGATGCTACTTACTTTTCTTTTAGCAGAAATCACCTTCCGGCTCATCCAAGAACACCTGATTCACGTCCCTTTCGTCCTTCAGATGAAATCTTTTTAACTCTTAAAAGTAGCGCCATCTCTTGACAACTTGTTCATCTACTACATTAATTGAGAGGTAATTGCATCCAATCGCATGAAAAAAGCAAAATAATTTTTATTTATAATTCAAAGTTTATATATAATTCAAAGTTTATTATAATTCAAAGTTTCAATAGTAACATCTTTACCTGAATGTTATCGGAAGAAAAGGACTGAAATGTGAATATAAGTTGCATGAAATCTGAATTTGTCTATCAGCTGCGAAGATTTCTTGTGGTGTATGAAGTTTAGGGTTTAGGCAATCCTCGTTGGCAACATTAATTTACACTGTGAATTCTCGTAGGTTTGGTGTGGAAGATGAGGTATGTATGCTTTTGGATTATATTCTAGAATATAGTAAAAATATAGCAATTTTAATAGTTGTATATGTCAAGTCTAATTTATATTAAAAATATAAGCATTTAATTACGATAAACGTAATGTTTTCGTGAAGTAAATTCCATTGTTGCTCTGTTGCCATTTGTGATTAACCCTAATGCTTGTATACACGTGGCGAATGCCGCTGAAAAATACCTTTAAATTGTTTTTAATGTTTTTTTTTAAATATATATGCATATTGTTCTTATCTGATTTATGCAATTTATCAGTATTTAAGTACATTTTCAGACTTTAGGCATGCGTTCGAATATGCGTCATTAGAAATCCATATTGAATTGATCGGAATTTGTTACTGTGATTAAATATATTGCTCTAAGCAGCTTATTTTTTGCTTGAAAAAATTAAGGAAACGTTTCGCAGTGTAAGACTAGTCTGTATTTCAATAATTACTATTTGAGAAGTCAACAATTCAAGTTACATAGAGATCTGTTGTATTTTTATTTATCGGTTGTCCATTAATTCTTCGTTCTCTTTATTTTCAAAAGCACATGATTATAAACTACTATGATAGGACTGGCCTGTAAATTTTAGTAAATAAATAAAAGGAATAGTTGGAGTGTGTTCCGCTTAAAAAAAACTGCCAATTTTTTTTTGTTTTTTGTATGTGTGTGTTTTGTTTTTGGTTGAAAACTTCATATCTCAGGAGCATGTTTCATATGCTGTATGCTATCCTTCATTTCTTTTTATTATAAAATGTTATCAGATTGTATCATCGTTATGCAGGAGTTATTTCTTCGGGAAGACTAGAAGGATGTAATGTTGGCGCTCACATATCGAAGCTTTTCAACCATTCTCTTACCAACCTGATTTATAGCATTTGTGTAGTTTACCGTAATATTTAGTTGTTTGCAAACAGCTTCAGGCTGTTTCGTCAGTGAAATGGTTCCAAGTGTATTCCAAAAATGTCACCCTACAGTTCTAGCCTGCCAGTGACTATGTGGATGAGAACATTGAACAGTGATATGTGGATCCACTTTCAAATTCAAATAAATAAGAAGCCGGGTTTTCATCCGCAGAGAACCCGTTGGCGACGTTGCATTTTTACTCGCCAAGCTTGCGGTTCATCGACAATGAGCCCAGCCTTAACGTGATTTTTAGTGCATGTAAATTCAAATTAGCAGACAAAACAATATACAAGCATGTAGATGTAAAACTAACCGGTTAAACGTGATATATGAAAATAAATTTGTATTAAATTCAAGTTAACACAGAAAAGAATATATTATTAAGCATAAGACAATATATAAGCATTTATAACGAAAATAAAAATTCATTTAAAAAATATAAATTAGTATTAATATACTGAAATTAACCGGTTAAACGTGATATACGAAAAAAATTTGTCTTAAATTCCAGTTAACACAGAAAACAATATATTCCTTACACCAGCAGTGGTTTGCTGAATTTGATGACCATGGTGATGCATCAAACTATTCTGTCATCTTGGATAATCAATAATATTTTTTATTTCAATTTCATCATATATTTATGTCACACCTGCGATCCTCTGAAAGATTGTTATTAGAAAGCATTAACAATATACTGTTAAAATTTTACACCATAAAAATTGATTTATTCTCATAATTTTAGATGACAATAACCAATAATAAAAATAGAAGCATTACTTAATTATTTAAAATGCATATGCACATTTTTGCGGTCTACGAAAACAAATTATTTTAGAGGTTGGAAACCTCATGGTTCTTAGGGCTGTTAATAATTAAAAACACAACGTGAACAGCCGTGTTACATATTAGCATTCACCCCTCCTTTCATCGATCCCGAAACGAGAACCGGCATCTACCTACGAAAATATTTCTATCTATTCGTTGCTAAAAAATTCAGAAAAAATAATAATAAATAAAAGAAGAAGAATATAGATCTGCAAATGCGAACAATGACAGTGATAATTCAAAAAAATGGACGCAAGAGGAATGTTGCAAACTTCGAACAAGCAAATAGGATAAATCTGATGGGTTACCAGGTTTGAACTACTATCGCCAAAGTTGGCGATGTTTACATTTACCGGGTTCTCTGCGGAAGTGCTTCCAAGAAGCCTCTATGGGTGCACAAAAACATGGGCAAATTTTATTAGCAAACGCTTCATTGTGGTAAACTTAATTTCAAAAGAAATTTTTTCAGTTAGTAGTACAAAAAGTAATTAAATTGTTTTCTAGTTCAAAGTGCATATAAGTTCTGCACTAAATATTGGGTACATTTAAATTTTTTTATAAAAATATCTTCCCTCCCCTTCATGTATATTTTAAAAAATTCATGGTAATTAGTTTAGGACAAAATATGGGCATAATTCATGTCAAGTTTCTTAGTGTGGTGGTAAAGCAAGCTATGAAATTTAACCAGTTATTGGTCTTCTACTTGTTTCCTAATAAATATTTTTCTAGAAATTCCTAAATTCTTATTCCTACTTGAAAACTTCTGTTTAGAGTATTCTGATATTTTAATTTGATAAGTTGGCATTTTGAGATTGATAACTAGTTCATTCCGAGTCAGAAATTACCACTAAGAGAAATTATAGGAAACAGTTGAAAACAAAAATATTGGAGTGTAATGTAAATTTTTTCTAGACTATTAACTGCAAAGCAGCTTGCAGATGTTAGCTTGTAAGTAATAATTTGAGTAATTAAGATGCACCAGTAAAGAAATTTGCAGTTTTAACTTTTGAAATTATAAATGGCATTGATTAGGAAATTAATAACATGAAGGCTTTTTTCAAAGAAATACAGTACTGAATTTTGAAAGTAACATTCATAAAAGAATCTAGTAAAATAGATATGCACCAGTTTGACGCGTATTAGAAAATCGCTAACTCGTCAAATCGCCATAATATATGGTTCCAATTTTTAATGAATCCTGTAAAACATGGAAAGAATTCATATCTAAAACAGAAGTTCGAGAAAAACAGTGAAAAGTATTTAAAACTTAATAAACTTATTTTATGGGATCAACGATGTTATGACTTTTCACAATATCATATACCACTTTTAAGACAGTAGCAAAAGTGTGTAAAACGTTTTATCGAAAAATTTTAAGAAACTGTAATAAGCAGTAAATGAACAATAAATAACAGGAAAATGTTCATTCATATATGAGCTAAAGCCTTAAAAAAATACAAAAGAAAAACAAGATTAAAATTCAAAGTTTCGATCGACTGAAAAATGAGCCCTAGTATAATAAAAAAACGAAAAGTGGTTAAGAAGTTTTAACTGCGTAATTTATATTTTCACAATAAATTTTTATAATAAGCAGTAGAAAAACCTCATTTGTTTACATCTATACCAAAATGTAAGTGAAATGAAGATAAAATTCGAAATGACACTCTCATTTCAATCATATGCTTAAAATGTACTTAAATGTAACGAGAGTTACTTTTATTGTAGTTTATATTTAAATCAAAATCTGTATCAATCAATTCCTGTATTTTTAGTTGAACTGTAGTAATCACTCATCCATAATAAACTAATTTGTGCATTATATGTTAATTGATATGTTAACATATTATAACAAATACCCACAAATATGTTAGTTGAAGGATCAGACGCGCACTCCTTTTGTGCTTGGAAGGATCGAACACACAACAACTCCTTTTACACAAATCTGTCGCAGACAGCCATTTTGCTTATACTTTTCCAAGAGAAGCACAGCGAAATGACGATTATCAATACTTGCTGGTATGTTGGTGTCAGCACGAATTATTGTGCTCACCAGCATCTCAAATACCCTGTTTAAGGGAAGCAATGCATGTAAAACCACAAAAAATTAAATAATGTTCCAAGTATGAATATTCAAAAAGCCCGCTAAGTAATATAAACTGTAACCATAAACCCGAACGAATTTCATCACGGCAAAAAAATGGATTAGGTTACCAGATTTGGCGTGATTTCATTTAACTTGGTGGCTGGTCCGTAATCTCCAGTCTAGCCCTACTTTTACATAAAAATTCATGTAATCCATGTTATATTTCCCAAAAGAAATAAATTTACTAGTGGACTTTCTTAACCTTAATCACCCTTAAAATCCAAGTTGTATTTTAACTTTCTTCATACCAACTATTGTCTTTCCTCACAAAGTGCTAATTTATTTCATTTTTACGACATTCCCAAATAAAATCACCTTTTATTTTCACTCATATTGCTTCTTTAATTTTTAAACATATACATTTTGGACTTGGCGCACCTTTTATGCTTGCGCTTTGGGGGGGGCCACATGGCCGAATTTTAACATTGCATTTAATGTAGAACCAAATAATAGGCATAATTAGTAAAATATATTCAAAGTAGAGTTGTACAGATATTTATGAAATTTTCAATTTCCATAGTTAAAATTTAGAAGAGCGGCATTTTGTACTTAATCGTTATATCGGTACAACTCGTAACGTTAAATGTGACATTAAACACATTTTCAATCCTTCACATTATTAGCATAAATCATAAAACAACAGAATTCTGTAATAATTATCCTGTTTGTATAATAATCAGAAGCAAAGCAGAAACTTTTCAGTGGTTCACAAGCAAGTAACAGGGTTGCCACGCTACCTGGAGAACCGGGAAAAGTCAGGGAATTCGAAAATTGACCAAAAAATTCAGGGAAAAGTCAGGGAATTTAAGTATTTTTGTCAAAATCTGGAAAAGTCAGGGAAGTTCATACAATGATCCCGCCAAAAAAAAAAAAGCGATTTTTGCGCCGACGTCGGAAAAGATAACTTTTTTGGCGAATTGCGTATCACGTGAGTGTCATTCGGGCAGCTGGCATAGAGCCAATTTTCGCAGCTCCAATTTGATTGTCCTTTAGAAAGGCAAAGCAAGTTTCCCGCAACTTTTGGTTTCCAGTATTCTCGAGAATAGCATGTGCAGTGCATGAACTAAAGAAAGTACCTGTTCTCGTATAAAACAAAATTATACGAGAACAAAATGGGTTTAATCTTAGTATACGGTACCATGGAGGTTAGAATCGAAGAATATGTATTGTAAAGAAGGAAAAACCTCTCTGCAACAGACGTGGCTCCGTTCCATCATAGAGGGAAACAGCTGTGCATGCGTGATATATCTGCTGCCAAAGCTCGAAACCGGTGTCGAAGTTCGAAGGTCACGTTATCAAGAGTTCATTAAATGAATATCCTTTAAAATTTCTTTAACCACTTGCGCTAAAAAGACGTGCCACGCACGTCGAGATGTTTTTGCCTCAAACTGCGAGCGACGTGAACACCACGTCGATAAGCATTTATCGCAAAAATGAAAATAACATGGTGCACACGTCGCCTAACAACGAGATTGTTTATTTCTCGAGTTACAGCTCTGGATTGCACTCGCAGATGCGGAGCGGCGTAAATGAGACACTTTACCGCTTGCTATATTGTAGCGCACGGCACCGCAACCGTGAAGTTTAGTCTTAGCGCAAGTGGTTAAACTCTAAAGGAAAAGAAAATATTTTTTGCCGCAAGTAACGGATTTTCGTAGCTTTCTTTTTGTCAAAGAACGTTTCTTCTTAACACGTTTCTTAATTTCCGGTACACATCGCGGAGAGGGAAATTCTGGCCGCCAGGTTTCGTCGCCACAATCCCTTGGTGATATTTACCCTCCCCCCCCGCATTTCTAGCGGTGTAATAGCATTTTACGTCTGTGGAACCTTTTCCTTCTTTACATAGACCAAAGAATTAGAGATTCTTTGCATAGATGTTCTTTGGTTAGAATAATCATCCATGTATGGTATTTTAACCTCTATGTACGGATTTGGCGACATTATGATGCGCAGTAAACGGGTTATTTTGGTCTTGGCGACAATTTTCAAAATTGTGCCAAGGCCTTACCATATACTACGATTTTACCGCAAAATCTTTTAAACCTTTTTTTCATCTTTTTAATAAATGCCTCATTTGTCATTTTACAGTAAAATAAAAAAATAGTCATCAGTGGTTTAGGCTAACCATGTTAATATAATTATATTCGCTACTAAATATACTGTTGATTATTCTTAATTCAATTTTTAAGTAATTATCTTTATTTTTGTGTTATTCGTATCATTTAATGATGCTTCTTCCCTCTAAATTTATTTATTATTTGTAAATATATAACTTTCCAAATTTTAGGAAATTTTCTCTGGCATAATCTTGAAATTAATTCTAGCAGTATGATGACATACCACATCACGAAATTTAATACACATATTTTTTGCCTTATGTATGTTGTGAAATAAATATAAAATACCTCAATTTATTAAAATAGATTTTTCTTCTTTCGTTTAGCTTGCAGAATGTCTGCAAAAAAAGCTTTATTTTATTCCAGATTGGGAAGATTCTAATCTCAATCTTCAATGGAGAAAAACAACTATTATAATTATATTTGTGTTTTCAAGTGTTAAGGTGCTTTTTAAGAAATACCCTCACACAAATTAAATTTACCTAAAATCTAAGCTATTTAGCATTGCATTGTAATTTTATATTTGTGTTTTCAAGTGTTAAGGTACCTTTTAAGAAGACACCTCACACAAATTAAATTTGTCTAAAATCTAAGCTAACTATTTAGCATTGCATTGTAATTTATAAGGACCGGATTAACCTCGTGTTGAACTGGCGATGATCATGAGTAACAATTAAATAAAACATACAATTGTTATCCAATGTTATATATCTTTAAATTTTATTAAGCTTCTTAAGTGGAAAAGTAAACAAAATTATCTAAACAAAGTTATACCAAGAATAATTAAGAATAAATGTCACTCTGGGATTTAGTGAATAATTAAGTGAATTTGCTACACAATACAAGTAATACCATAATTAATTTACCTCTTAGCGTAGCCAAAGTACATTACGCGAATAGACTGGAATTTTCTTGAAACACACCTGGAAAACCTGGAAAAGTCAGGGAATTTCATTCTCCTGTTTGAGTGGCAACCCTGAAGTAACAACCTTAATTTTAAGTATCTTTTAATTTATTAATAATGGTATGAAACAAGTTCACCTGTGAAAAGTGTCTCAAGGATTGCTGTTTATTAAATATATTTAGCAGTCTTCATTTTTTATCATCCTATATCTCCTAATTAGCAAAAATCTTTTGCTTCATACTGAATAAGTTGAGGTAATTTAAATAGGCATACTTCTGCAAAAAAATAACATATTACGTACAGCCGCTGCAGGAACACCAAATAATGAGGGGAAAGGTTTTCTTTAAGGGTAATCTTAAAGAAATAACATTAAACATACTTAAAAATAGATATTAGCTTATCTTGTGTTTCTTATATTACTGGGCATTTACGTAAATATTATGACTAAATCTTATTTTAATGCTTTAAATAGCTTATGATGAAGAAGTAATAAAATGTTTACGTTTTGTGTGTTCAATTATTTAGTTGTCTCAGATTGCAAAAGCGGCTTGCTGCTGCTGTATTGAAATGTGGAAAACGAAAAGTGTGGCTGGATCCTAATGAAATGAGTGAAATTGCTAATGCTAATTCAAGTAAGTATTTCTGTTTTCCAAGTTATTTATACTGCTAAGTATCTGTATAAGCATTTTCTATCCCACTAGGACATGTGTCTTATCATCAAGAATATTTGTGGTAGGTGCTTAACAAGCTTCCTATAATGTAGTATTCAGTTTCGAGGGCCGTAAAAAAATTGCAGCAAAAGTGCCAAATCTAGAAAACACGCCCAAACGCCATTTAACAGCGTGCCTAAGCGCTGATTTTAGGTTGCGTAAGTTTATATAGTTCTATATTTCTTAAGACGCCATTGAAATACTAGTTTAATTTTTAAATCCTTTTTTTGATATCCTATGGATTTGACAATTTGGGAATTGCCTATGATGAAAAGGTCTGCGATAGAATTTTGGGTAAAGTGCAGAAACATCCACTGCTTGGCGGGTTTTTAAGAATTGCACATAGTCGGTATCCATGTACACATCAACTTATTTTCACTTTAAAAAAATCCCAGAGTTGCACAAAAATGGCACTGCACCCTTGACTTTATCTATGTACACATTGACCTATTGTCACTTAAAAAGTAAAAGAAAATTGACAAAATTCCAATTGTTTTTACCCTTGTAAAAAGCGGCAAAGAAAAGGCATCATTCATTGTAGAAAATTATGTTTGAACAACCAACGAGATGACATTATGCTTTAGCGATAACTCGGTACCGAAACATTATACAAACAATATTTACATAAATGCCCAGTAATATAAGAAAAGAAAAGCTAATATCTATTTTAATATTTATTAATTATTAACCTTTCATCTAAATTAAAACATCAATATTTAGATAGTTATTTACTATTATACTTCCTTTCTTGTGTTAGGGTTGCCGCAATTACTTTTGGCAATACTGGCATCAACAATAGTTTGTCGTTTTTTTACGGCCCTTGAAACCGAATAGTACCAAATAATGTTTTCTCTTTTAAAAAATAATTATAATTTCTGATCTAGTTTAGTTATTCCAATTATTTTCTTTTTCTTTCCCTCTGTATTTTTATTTTGAAATATGGAAGGATATTTTAATAATTGAAATTGCTGAACTCAAAAAATTTAATTATTTTGTATAGAATAATTACAGAATTAAATAATAGACATGTCTAATTTAGCAGTTTCGTTTCAGGCTTACATCTGTTATGCTGGTTGTGGTGTACCTGAAAACAAATAAGGATGTTTTCTGATTGCCTACATCCCCCAAAAAAATTTGCACTTTTTGGCAACTTGGGAGAGAAACTTCTGGGTATCCTTTGCGTCTATGTCGATGATGTAGCCAGCTTTTTTTTTTTTTTTACATTCTTCTTTTCCATACAAGATACACTTTCGTTTTAGGGGCTATTGTTGCTTTCTCTTATACATAGCAATCAGTTTTCAAAAAACAAAATTATATAAAAAAAAAGAGAAATAATTACACAAATTTATATATTGTGCATTCTTGCAGAGCCCTTGGGTTCTTCATACGCGATCCCAGGCAAATGAGCTGGCTGCATAGTTGGTTTTCATCTAAATGCGAGTCTGCTTCTTTTTAAGAAGGTCTTGTGTTGAGACGACCCTACTTTTAGATAGCACGTGTGAGCTTTGACGTATTGATCAGGACCAGATTAAGTATTGAGGATGCAGTTTAAGTATTGTTTGAGATTCGTGCTTATACATACTTAGTTGTTTAGGATGATTGGCAGTGTAGAGTTTTGTTTTGAAGCTAATGATCTGAAGATTCCATTTAAAACATATTTGTATTCTCTTCCACGAGTGCTGTTCCAGTGGGTGACCAACACCAGAACTTCTACGTTGTCTGTTCAGTTTAAAATTCAAGTCTCTGTACTGGCTGAAAAGTCTCCTTCCTGATTGGATGTTATTTGTTTTAATAGCGTAGTAAAATATTTAGATTTCGTATTTCCAATTCATGTCATTGATTTTATTAAAAGTTACATATTAGAACAGTTTTTCCTCTTTCATCATCCAACTGTATCCAGCAAATCAAATAACTATTTTTAATGTTATTTAGATTTAAAAATTTTCTGTGTGAATTATTTAAAATTTTTTGGGGAGAGGATGTCATGATTAAGGGAAAGTTGCTCTTGAGGAGGGAGTGGCTTGTATTTGTTCGGATTAAATATGTACCTGACTGCTGCCAAACCCTCATTAGTATTTAACATAAAGCAACAATATTTTTACTCAGAATCTCTGTTTAATGCTGGTAATAATTATTATTTCCTGAAATTTCATAAAAAGTCACTTATTCATTTTCTATGTTTTATATATGAAATATAGTATGTTTTAAGTATTACAACTTAATTGTCATTAACATAGCATGTTTACATTGATTATATCTTTGCTGCCAAATTAAATATTGTTATATAATACAGTTATAATAATAATATAATTGTTATATAATACAGCCAACTCTCCCGATTTTCGACCACTCCCGCCAAACCCATTTACAATATATTTCTCCCGACTTTTTCTTATTTCTTAAAATTTCTAATGATTTTTATGGAACTTTGCTTAATACTTTGTTATATGAATAAAAGAAAGTGATTTTGGACTTCTGAAAGGAATTGAATTTTTTTCTCTAGATTATATCTAAAACGAAACCTTGCGAATCAGGTGAGAATTTCTGCTTTGTGAGTGAGAGTATACGCATCCAGAAACTTCGTTCCCCAGTTCTCCAATTTGCATCGAGCTTCACTGCGTGTCATGTGTCGTATATTAGGCAATAGCAAGCTCAAGGCTGTTATTTGGATGTTCTTTAGTTATTTCGTTCATCTTGTCATGAGTTGTGTGAGTACACGTGCCATCGGGAAATAGTGTTAGAAATTATCATCTTTTGTTATGTCTGCGAGAAAGGTAAAATACTCATGTACATTTCAAAAATCATAAACAGTTGACTTTCCTTCCATTATTTCCTCAAGGAAATGTAATAAATTTGCGATGTGTACCGTCTGTCGTTGTGATTTTTCGATTTCGCATGGTGGATGGGCGGATGTTCTTAAACATGTGCATTCACAAGAACAACATAAGTAGTTTAGAAAAAACGAAAAATTGAATTTTTCTTCGGAAACAAGGGAACAAAAAGTTATTAATTCAAAATGTCTGTTCTCTGCCTTTTTACTGACTGTCTGGCTGCCATGTAATGCAGTGTTGTGAACTGCATATCCGGCTATAACAAACTAGCCACAATGGTGACATCGCGATAAGTCAAATCGTCACGTACCTTTTCACTGGAGCACAACCTGCCACTGAATGCATCGGTTTATTTAGAAAAATGTTTCCCGATAGTGAAATCGCTAAGAAATACTCAAGTGCAAGGACCAAAACAGGTGCAGTTTGTTAAAAAAAATGGGTTTGAAAAATAAATCTTCAGTTATTCCTGTGTTACTTCATTTAGTCATGAAAGCTAATGATGTTGTCACTGATATAATGCAGTCGCAATTTTGCAGTTTACAATTAGAAAACTTGAATGAAGTTATAAAATCAGCTAGGGTTGACACACAGTGGAGTTTTAATTGGAAAACTGAAAGGTGCTGGTGGAATTTTAAAATATAGTGAACTGTCTAGAATTATGTTAGCCATCTTGATAGTTCCCTATAGTAATGCAGAGTGTGAGAGGATTTTCAGTGTTGCTGCGAACATGAGGACTAAATTTAGATCTAATATTAGTGGTGAAACATTAGAAAAACTTTTATTTGCGAAAACAGGCCTACGGGGCAATTGCGATGAACAAGATTATGAAGTTTCTTAACGAAAGCAAAAACTGTTACTGTTCATAACATTTGTACGAAAAGTGATTAATTTTTTTTTTCTTCCCTTAAACGATGCAAGTAATAAAAATGTTTTTTGTGTGTGCGTTATTTTTGTGTTGCTTGCATTTAAGAATTAGTAACTATTTAAAGTTAATTCATTATTAAAAACTGTATTTTTATCATTTAGAAAGTCTTTTTAACATTGTGAAAAATCTCCTGATTTTTGAGTGTCAATGATAGGTTGGCAAGTATGCTAATATTAAGATATTATTTTATAGGACAGAACATTCGTAAGTTAATCAAAGATGGTTTGATTATTCGAAAACCAGTTGCAGTTCATTCCCGTGCTCGAGTACGCAAAAATAAAGAAGCCAGACGAAAAGGTCGTCACTGTGGTCCTGGAAAAAGGAAGGGTACCGCAAATGCTCGTATGCCGAAAAAAGTTGTATGGATTCGTCGTATGAGAGTGCTAAGGAGACTTCTTAAAAAGTACAGAGAAGCTAAAAAAATTGATAGACATTTGTAAGTATACATGTTATATATCTATTCCATGAGATCCCACCTCTTTAAGAGTACATTCAGACTGAAAAATAATTATTACAGCAAAAGTGCAAATTAGTTGCAATGAAATGACATTGTTAAATTAATAATTCATGCATTATGTCTGGTAAGTAACGATTCAAATTATATGGCAAGAACAATCATAAGTTAATGCAGACCAGCAAATCACGGCTATGTAAACCAATTGTCAGTGTTGCTGAATATTTAGTCTTGTATGTAGATTTTAAGACATTTCTAATGGCAGATGTTAAAAAAGCATTGCTATCCAGAAAGTTCAGGAAATGTAAGGTGGTTTAAACATATAAAATCTTTTATTTTATTCAACCGCCTTGTGGCAAAGTGGCTAGCATGTCACGCACGCAGCTGCACCACAGGTCTGGAGTTCGATCCCCAGGCCGGGCAAGATTGGCTCAGCATTTCATCCCATTGCTCAGCATTCATTTGGTGGAAAACTAAAGTGGATCGATACAAATGAGTACCAAGTTCGTTTGGGAACTAAACACCCGTGGTCTAGAGGTCGAGAAAGCAGAAAAGGATCACTGCAAGATGTGGCCCACTAGAGCTGTTGTGCCACTGAATTTAGTTCTATTTATTTTATTCATTATAGTTGCATTTAATATGTAAGATTTTGAAAGTATGCATTTCAGACATGAAAGCCAGTGCATTTTTCTAGGCCTTAAACATATTAAAATATAACTTCTTTTAAGGAGATTGCAGTGTGTGTGACACACGTCAGCTGGTGGTGTCTCTTTGGTGGAAAACTAAGACGTCCCACCAAACCTGTGTCATTCTGGCAGAAGTTTGATTTCTCTTTTAGTTAGATATCAAGATACAAAATCACTTGCTATAATATTTAATGTTGCATTATCGTTTGTCCGTTTTCAAATGAAATTGCATATCCCTCTTTAATTACACTTTTCTTAAAGCCAAAATCCTATAATTTTGATTCACTGCATGCTGTTTTGTTTAGGAAAGGTCCCAAATTGTAATATTTTTCCCTTCAAAATATTATAAAAAAATAATTGTACAATTTTAAAATATTTGAGTTATCAGTGTTATGTTTAGTTAATGCAGGATTTTACTGTGTTACATGTTTTTCTATTGAAAGTTTTGTTTTTAAATTGAATTTTTCAAAATTTTCAAAGCTGTAGTACAATATTTTAAGTATCTGCCTCTGTTGTGAGATATACAATGGATCCTTTGTTGTTTTATAAAATATAACCATTTTGCTGAAAAACGATGCATTTTGTTATTTCCAAAAGTAGAAGCACAATTTTAGTTTGTGCAAATGCATCTTGACTTTCCTATATAATGCAGACTTGCCAACTCTCCCGATTTTCAACCGCTCTCCCGCCAACCCGATTTACAATATATTTCTCACGATTTTTATGGAACTTGGCTTAATACTTCGTTATATGAACAAAAAAAAAGCGATTTTGGACATCTGAAAGCAACTGAATTTTCTCTAGATTATATCTAAAATGAAACCTTGCGAATCAGATGAGAATTTCTGCTTTGTGATCGACACAGCATACGTATCCAGAAACTTTCGTTTATCCAGTTGTCCAATGGGCATCGAGCTCCATTGCGTGTCATCTGGCATATATTAGCCAATAGAACAAAAGCAAGCTCAAGGGCGTTGGCCGTTCTTTGGATGTTCTTTCGCTATTTCGTTCATCTTGTCCTGAGTTGTGTGAGTACACGTGCCTTTAGGAAATAGTTTTAGAAATTTGTCTTTTGATATGTCTGCGAGAAAGGTGAAATACTCGTGCACGCTTAAAAAATCGTACACAGTTGACTTTCCTTCCATTATTTCTTCAAGGAAATGTAATAAATTTGCGAGGTGTACCATCTGTTGTTGCGGTTTTTCGATTTCGCTTGGTGGAAGGGCAGATGCTCTCAAACGTGCGTACACAAAAACACAAGGACAACATGAGTTGTTTTGAAAAAACGAAAAATTTTTCTTCGGAAACAAAATGCCTAAAAGTGATTAATGCAGAATGTCTGTTCTCTGCCTTTTTACTGGAGCACAACCTGCCACTGAATGCATCGGATCACGCTGCAGCTTTATTTAGAAACATGTTTCCCGATAGTGAAATCGCTAAGAAATACTCAAGTGCAAGGACCAAAACAGGTGCAATGTTAAAGAAATGGGTTTGAAAAATAAATCTTCAGTTATTGATTGCATTAAAACAGCTCCGTTCTGCCTCTCTACAAGGATCGCTACGGATGGAGCAATAATACCAATTCAAAACTGTATCCAATTGTTGTTTCTTTTTTTTAATTCAGAGTCTTCAGAAATTGAGTGTAGTTTACTTTCTGTCCCCACTTAGAAGGACATTCGACAGGCTTTAATATAGCACAGGCTAATTATTAAAACTTTAAAAGAAATGCAGTCCCTCTGGATAATTGCTTAGCTCTTGGTGCCGATAATGCACCAGTAATGGTAGGCTTGAAGGCTGGTGTGCAGGCATCTTAAGAAAGGCAAATTCAGATTTGCAGATAATGAGGTGCACCCTGTCACCTCTTAAATTAGCAGCTGAAAAAGGGGGCAGCTTCTTTACCATTAAATGTGGATGAACACATTGTTGATATTTATTTTATCTTGAAAGAAGTTCTAAAAGAAAGGAAAAATTGAAACAGTTCCAACAGCTGCATAATACTGAAATATGAAAAATTTTGAAACGTTGTACACGCTGGCTGTCTAAAGAAATGCTTATCTAGAATCCTTGATCAATGGAACCCACTTCTTGCATTTTTTAAAGAAGTAAATGCTTCGAGAGTTAAGATAAAAGGCTCTATTGAAAGTTATAAAGTACCTAAAGTAAATGGAGATGTAGTTACTACTTCCATTGTTAAAAATAGGTTTGAGAAAAATAAAGTAATTTCTGCATCATTCAGCAATTCAACTGGCAGTTCTCAAAATAATACTGCAAAATATAAGCGTAAAGCTGATACAAATTTCTCTCAAAATAAAAAAATTGCTCAACACACGAAACATTTTCCGATTACTGTAAGTTTATCTTGTGAAGAACGAATATTTGTTTTTTTCTTCGGACCTTAACAAAGCTTTTTGCTTTTTTTTACAATTCATTTTGCCATCATTCGATGTTCTCAACGCAATTCTACAAAGCAGAATTCCATTAATTCATGTTTTGCAATCAATGATTTATGATCTGTTTAAAGACATTTTATCCAAGTTTGTAAAAACAGTCTGTGTTTTGTCTTGTAATGTGATGTGACTTATGGTGAAACAGAAAATCAGAAGAAAGATGAAGATTTGGTAATAGGAGCTGCAACTACAAAAGTAGTGGAAGAACTTTCAGAAGAAGACAAAAATAAGTTTTATCTTCATGTTAGAAGTTACTTCTGTCGAGTATGTGATTACATATTACATAAATTCCCAGTCAACGATGAACTGATTTTGCATGCTAAAGTTGCTGATGTTTCTGCTCTAGCAAATGCATCTTTTTCTGATATAAAGTACTTTTTGAACAGGTTTCCTGTGTTACTTCGTTTAGTCATGAAAGATGACGATATTGATGTTGCTACTGATATATTGCAGTCGCAATTTTGCAGTTTACAATTAGAAAACTTGGATGAAGTTATAAAATCAGCTAGGATTGACACCCAGTGGAGGTTAATTGGAAAATTGAAAGGTGCTGATGGAATTTTAAAATATAGTGAACTCTCTAGAATTATGTTGGCCATCTTGACAGTTCCCCATAGTAATGCGGAGTGTGAGAGGATTTTCAGTGTTGTTGCGAAAATGAGGACTAAATTTAGATCTAATATTAGTGATGACACATTAGAAAAACTTTTATTAGCGAAAGCAGGCCTACGTGGCAGTTATGAACAAAATTATGAAGTTTCTTTCTTAACGAAAGCAAAATCTGCCACTGTCCATAACATTTGTATGAAAACTGATTAAAAGTGTCCTTTTTTTTTTTTTTTTTTTTTTTTTTACGATGCAAGTAATAAAAATGTTTTTTATGTCTAAGGTATTTTTGTTTTGCTTGCATTTAAGACTTAGTAACTATTTAAAGTTAATTCATCGTTAAAAACTATATTTTTATCATTTAAAAAGTATTTTTAACATTGTGAAAAATCTCCTGATTTCTTAAAAAAATCTCCTGTGCTGTGCGCCACAGAGCGGCGTGGAAGCTCTGAAAAACTTTAAATTTTTTGAAATCCCAAGTGGTTTCATGCATCTTGACTTTCCTATATAATGAATAGTATGCTTATAAATAAAATTGTCTTCCTATGACTGACTGATTTACATTTTAATCCTTGAATTTTTGCAACTTATCTATTAGGAGATAAACAACACTAGATAATGCTGCTTCATTTGTAGCACAAATGTTATAATTATTAGAATAAATGTAGTTGCTAAGTAAACCTGTTTGCAAACTTTTCTAAGCTAAGTAAATATGATTCAATTTTGTATTTTTATGAAAAGCTTACATCACAATGGCTTATCTACATTTCTGAAAAAGCAAAAAAATCTATTTTTAAATGATCCTATTATTCATGCTAAATAAATTAATATTGTGCATCTGTCAGATTTAAAATAAGATGCAGCTTGTTTATTTTGAAAGTATTGGTTTAAATTTGCTTGTCCACTCAAATAATAAAGATTGTAATTTAAAAAATTTATCTCTGTTATTTACAGTTGTTAAATATAACTTAGTGTTGTTAAAAGTTCTGCTGGGATTTTCAATGATAAATACAAATGAAGCAGAACAACATAAGAAAATTTCATTATATCACATAAGCACCATTTTGTTCTGCGACTTTTTGCTGTTTCTCCGGCAGGTGGAAAATTCCTTTTTAAGACGTTATAAGGTATTTCTCCTGCCTTCGTGGTATAGTGGTTAGCACACTTGGCATGTATTCAAGAGTTCCATCGAGGCATTGCACATTTTTCATCTCTCCTGCTTTGAAATAACCTAATGACTACAAAGTAGAAGTTCTGTTTGATAGTGTGTTCAAAGAATATTTTATAATGTTCATAAATATTCCAATAGCCTGATATTTGTCGAAATGTGGGCTGAATATTGTCATGATGGAAGGCAACAGATCAATGATTAATCAATTCTGTGTGCTTTCCTTCAATTTCTGTTTTTAAGCTGCCATTTGGATATTTTTTTTTTTTTGGGTGTGTGTGTGTGTGTGAAGGAACAGTTCACAGTGAACAATTCTTTTATAATCCTACCAGCAAAAGCTTTTAATAATTCCTTGTTTGGAAAGGAAGCATTATCTTCGAGGCTGAAATTTCCATGCTTCTCAAACCACCTCTGAACTGTGTCATCAGATGTGATACTTTGTCAATATGCAGCACAAATTTTGCAAACAGTCTGACTGGCATTTTTTCCTTTATTAAGGGAAAAATAATATGAAAATGAACATTTCAATTAATTCTCCATTCTTAGCGCTGCACAGAAAACAAAAATTACTTCATGACAGGACGAAAATGTGCGGCCAAGGAGAAGAGATTGTATTTAATGCAGGGTTGCCACGCTACCTGGAAAAACGGAAAAAGTCTGGGAATTCGAAAATTGACCCAAACAATCGGGAAATTAAAATATTTTAGTCAAAATCTTGAACATTCGGGTATTTCTTCCGGCGATCCTCCCAAAAATGCGAGTGTTTGCGCCAACGTTGAAAGCGGCCACTTTCTTGGTGAATTTTATATAATTTTAAATCGCATGAGCATCATTCGGGTAGCTGGCGTATTGCCAATTTTCGCAGCTCCAATCAAATTGTCTTTAAGAAGGCAAAGCAAGTTTCCAGCAGCTTTTGTTTCTAATAACCTCGAGAATCAAGAGACTCGCAAGCGCATGTGCAGTGCATGTTGAACTAAAGGAAATGCCTGCCGATTCTCGTATAAAACCATCTATGTAATGTAAATCAGTTTGCTATTATGCCGCTAGAAAGAGGAGGGGAAAATTCGGTGACAGAACCTGGTGGCGAGAATTTCTCCCTCCACGAAATTGAGGAACACATTAAGAAAAAACTTTCTTTAGCGAAACGTTTTCTTTGACTTTTCTCAATAATTTAAACTCTGATTTTTGTCCCTTTTTTGCTCAAAAAAACTAATCCAAGAATGAATTTACTTGCGCAAAAAAATATTTTCTTTTCCTTTAAAGGAATTTAAAACAATAGTTTTATGAACCCTTGATAAACCTGACCTTGGAACTTCGATGCCGGCTTTGAGCTTTGACGACAGATATTACAGGTGGGCGCAGCTGTTTAATAATTGCTTTATGTGTCATTTTGCAGAAAAATAAAAAAAAAAAAATAGTAATCAGTCATATAGGGCTAACCATTTTTAATGTTATTCGTACCACTTAATGTGGCTTCTTCCCTCTAAATTTATTGAATATTAGTTTTAAAATATTTCCAAATTTCAGGTAATTTTCTCTGGCATGATCCTGAAATTAATTCTAGCAATATGATGACATTCTATCACAAAATTTAATGCGCACATTTTTTGCTTATGTATGCTGCTAAATAAATATGAAATACCTGAATTTATTTCGAAATATCATTAAATATACTTCTATCTTTCGTTTAGCCGCAAAATTTCTGAAAAAAAGACATTTTGTAATCCAGATTGGGCAGATTCTAATCTGTCTTCAGTGGAGAAAACAACTATTATAGCTATAATAGTATTCTCCTGTTTGAGTGGAAACCCTGTTAAACATATGCTTTGATCAAGGTCACTCCTTATCAGCAGTAACAAAATAATTAGTAGAAAAAAACTTTGTAATCTGATAAACCGCAGAACTCTTCTAATGACCCAATATTTGATTACACTAACTGATTAAACTGCTATTGTTTCACACATCATTTATAGTATTCATCTAGTTTTGGTTTTGAAAAACCAGGAAACTAATATGTCAGTTAACAAATTGTGTAATTTTTTATTATGCCTGAACTATTCTGAAATAAAATACAATGTTGTTGAATGAGTAGTCGTAAATTTATTAATCTTTTTAATTAAGGTACCATGAACTGTACATGAAAGCCAAAGGTAATGTGTTTAAAAATAAGAGGGTTCTCATGGAGTTCATACATCGTAAAAAGGCAGAGAAGTCAAGATCCAAAATGCTGTTGGACCAGGCTGAGGCTAGACGTCAAAAAGTTCGTGAAGCTCGTCGCCGTCGTGAGGAAAGACAGCAACAGAAGAGGGCTGAGTTGTTGCAAGCTTTCCAGAAAGAGGAGGAGGCTGTAAAAAAATAAAATATTTGTTGTGAATAATTGACTAAATAAAAATATATCCCTTTGTGAAGGGATTTATACATAAGTATTGTAAGTTGCCTTTCTTTGGGAAAAAAAAAAAAAAATGTGTCGTAAATCATGATTCCAGGTAAAAATCTGATTTTTCAGTCTATAAAATTCATACTTAAGGTTAAAGATTTGGGTGTGTGGTGTTAAGTATATGATAGCAAAATTAATTCCTTTTTGAGCATTTGTCAAATAGCTCTATGCAGACTTTAAGATATAATTTGAATCAAATACCATGCCAACAACATGCACATCTCAAGTAAATAATAGTAACATAATTTCTGTTGTTGCTGTGTTAAAGTAATGTGAAGTTGATGATTTTCTGTGAATGCAGTCCTAGTTGCCATCTATAATAAACTTTCATTTCTAATGTCCATTGAACAAGGGATCCTATGTTATGTATAGTTTTAAATGTGTCATACATAAAGCATTCTATTTGTTCATTGCTCAATAATAAAGTGTCAATCATGATCAAGTTCTAGTTTGTAGAGTAATTGAGTCGATTCTTTAATTATACCAGAAGACATCTGAAGGGCACAAAAACGCACTTTGCCGTTAGAAGGAGTGTTAGTGTGAGGGGATAAATTGGCAGAGTGAAGTTCAAATAAATATTCTTTACGCCAACGTTTCCAGAAATGAGCGATGACTTGTCTGTATCTCAACATTTTCGTGAGAACAATTTTGTTTGATTTGAGTTCAGCTGAATAGTTGACATCTGGCAAGGAATTCAAACACTTACCAATCAGAAAATGAGATGGGGTAATCGGAAGAGGTTCGTTGTTATCTTCATAAAGATAAGTCAGAGGACAACTGTTAATAACAGCTTCAATTTCGGTCGACGTGGTTTGAATTTCCTCATAGGTGAGGCATGATCTGCGGAGGATTTTCTTCAAAGGGGTTTTAGCAGAACGTACCATGCGTTCCCAAAATCCGCCCCACCAACTAGCTTCTCTCAAATACTGATTAACATGAGGTTGAGAAATTCGACTCCAAACTTCAATTAAAAAACAATCTGCCTTTATGAAGGTTTTCACATTGTCACTAAATTTTTTTACATAGTCCTCTTCTGAATGTGAATCGTTTAAGGGCCAGTGTAAAAGTTTCAGTGCTCAAATTACTTGCTACCTCGAGATAGACAGCACGAGTGAATAACATGATGAATGCCTGTTTTTTCTTTGATATAAATGGGACCGGCAAAGTCGACAGCACAGGTCAGAAAAGGAGGGGATTCAGTTATTCTGACCTTCAGTAATGGAGCAATATCTTGTTTTTCAGAGGATGCACTGAACCTTTTACAAATCATGCAATTTTTTAACACTGTTTTCTGCCTTTAATTATGAAATATTTTTCCCTCAGATGAGCTAAGGTACATGTAATACCAAAATGGAAAACTTTTTCGTGAGCATTCTTAATTAATAAGTAAAATTTCCGTCTGGCAGGATCCAAGGATGTTTTTCCCTTTGAGAAAACTCATAAAATTGAAGTCTTCCCGAAACAACAAACCGTTTTCATCAAATTTTGCATTCAGATTGTCTAACTTAATCTTTTATCAATAGGCTTTTCATATTTTAGATACGTAATTTCACGATTAAATGCAATTTGTTCTGTCTGTTTTATCCAATATAACTCCACCTTTTCAGTTTCTGAAGATGAGAGTTGGCCTGAAATTTTAAATTTCCTCTTATCAATATTTAAAAATCTTGAGACCCATGCCATAATATCGTAAACCTTGTTTAAAGAACTAAAATTCTCTAATTTTAGTAACGAATCTGGAAATGCATCAACAGCACAAGACAATTATGTAGAATTTGAATTAGATTTCTTTTCGTCTATAACATCATTATTAATAACGATATTTTCGAGTTTGGGCCACATGTGACTTGCATTGAATAATCGTTGAGGACCATAAAACCATAACTTGTTTTCGATAAGATTATTCAATTTTTAGCCTCTGGTTAAAAGGTTACTTGGATTATCTTACCCAGGATATGATTCCAAATTTTGGAATCAGTTAAATATTGAATTTCCATAACTATTCGCTCCAAAGGGTTTCCAATTCAAAGGTGATCCCGTAACCCAGTGTAGTGTTATGGTTGAATCCAACCATATGTAAATGTCCAAATTCTGGGAAAAAACACCTTTTAGATATTTGCTCATTCTTGCTGCGATTAACGCCCCGATAAGTTCAAGGTGAGGAATGTTAGACGTTTAATGGGTGAGACTCTACATTTAGCCCAAATTAGGCAGGTTTTAATTTCATTATCATTCGTTATGTTATGGAAATAGGCCAACAGCTTCATAAGCCTTAGGGCTGGCATCTGAAAAAATGTGAACTTGTATTTTATCAGAAAGTTCATAACCTTAAGGGAAATATTTTCGAGGAATTTATTGCACAAATTCCGAGATCCATCCTTCAAATCATTGGGCAAAACAGTATCCCACTCCAAACCTCCTCGTCATCCTTCTTGTACAGTACAAAGTCCATAATCCGGAATGATCTATTATCCGGACCTCAAAGGCACAAGCTTGCACATGTGCATAAAGCGTTTACCCATGCGCGCTTCCGAGATAGAAAGTGATGGAGAGGTTATTGAAAGTGAAAAAATTTCGATTGACAAAATAGTCTGTATTCTCGACTCGGCAATTACAGGACCTGAACGGTGGAACTTTGTAACTGAACAAGAAATTGTCTGTTTATAGAATTAAAGAGAAACTATTAGCACAAAAAGCGAAGTAACTTGAACAACTCATTGAAATACTAATTCAGAAGTTAAACAACAAAAATCGGCGTTATATTTTCACAGGACTAGTTTCGATGATTTTACCGAAACACCATCAGAGTTGCCAACTCTCCCGATTTAGGCGGGAGACTCCCGATTTTCGACCGCTCTCCCGCCAACCCGATTTACAATATATCTCTCCCGACTTTTTCTTATTCTTAATATTTCTCACGATTTTTATGGAACTTGGCTTAATACTTTGTTATATGAACAAAAAAAAAGCGATTTTGGACATCTGAAAGCAACTGAATTTTCTCTAGATTATATCTAAAATGAAACCTTGCGAATCAGATGAGAATTTCTGCTTTGTGATTGACAGCATACGTATCCCGAAACTTCGTTCTCCAGTTGTCCAATGGGCATCGAGCTCCACTGCGTGTCATCTGGCATATATTAGCCAATGAGCACAAAGCAAGCTCAAGGGCGTTGGCCATTCTTTGGATGTTCTTTCGCTATTTCGTTCATCTTGTCCTGAGTTGTGTGAGTACACGTGCCTTTAGGAAATAGTTTTAGAAATTATCGTCTTTTGATATGTCTGCGAGAAAGGTGAAATACTCGTGCACGCTTCAAAAATCGTACACAGTTGACTTTCCTTCCATTATTTCTTCAAGGAAATGTAATAAATTTGCGAGGTGTACCATCTGTCATTGCGATTTTTCGATTTCGCTTGGTGGAAGGGCAGATGCTCTCAAACATGTGCGTACACAAAAACACAAGGACAACATGAGTTGTTTTGAAAAAATGAAAATTTTTTCTTCGGAAACAAAAGGCCAAAATGTGATTAATGCAGAATGTCTGTTCTCTGCCTTTTTACTGGAGCACAACCTGCCAATGAATGCATCGGATCACGCTGCAGCTTTATTTAGAAAAATGTTTCCCGATAGTGAAATCACTAAGAAATACTCAAGTGCAAGGACCAAAACAGGTGCAATTGTTAAAGAAATGGGTTTTGAAAAATAAATCTTCAGTTATTGATTGCATTAAAAACAGCTCCGTTCTGCCCTCTCTACTAACGATGGAAGCAATAATACCAATTCAAAACTGTATCCAATTGTTGTTTCTTTTTTTAATTCAGAGTCTTCAGAAATTGAGTGTAGTTTACTTTCTGTCCCCACTTTAGAAGGACATTCGACAGGCTTTAATATAGCACAGCTAATTATTAAAACTTTAAAAGAAAATGCAGTCCCTCTGGATAATTGCTTAGCGCTTGGTGCCGATAATGCACCAGTAATGGTAGGCTTGAAGGCTGGTGTTGCAGGCATCTTAAGAAAGGCAAATTCAGATTTGCAGATTATGAGGTGCACCTGTCACCTCTTAAATTTAGCAGCTGAAAAAGAGGCAGCTTCTTTACCATTAAATGTGGATGAACACATTGTTGATATTTATTATTATCTTGAAAGGAGTTCTAAAAGAAAGGAAAAATTGAAACAGTCCCCAACAGCTGCATAATACTGAAATGAGAAAAATTTTGATTTTTTGTAATTTCTGCATCATTCAGCAATTCAACTGGCAGTTCTCAAAATAATACTGCAAAATATAAGCGTAAAGCTGATACAAATTTCTCTCAAAATAAAAAAAAAAATTGCTCAACACACGAAACATTTTCCGATTACTGTAAGAATATTTATGTTTTTTTCTTCGGACCTTAACAAAGCTTTTTGCTCTTTTTTACAATTCATTTTGCCAGCATTCGATGTTCTGAACACAATTCTACAAAGCAGAATTCCATTAATTCATGTTTTGCAATCAATGATTTATGATCTGTTTAAAGACATTTTATCAAAGTTTGTAAAACCAGTCTGTGTTTTGTCGTGTAATTCTATATATGATGTGATTTATGGTGAAACAGAAAATCAGACGAAAGATGAAGATTTGGTAATAGGAGCTGCAACTACAAAAGTAGTGGAAGAACTTTCAGAAGAAAACAAAAGTAAGTTTTATCTTCATGTTAGAAGTTACTTCTGTCGAGTATGTGATTACACACTACATAAATTTCCAGTCAATGATGAAGTGATTTTGCATGCTAAAGTTGCTGATATTTCTGCTCTAGCAAATGCATCTTTTTCTGATATAAGGTACTTTTTGAACAGATTTCCTGTGTTACTTCGTTTAGTCATGAAAGATGATGATATTGATGTTGATACTGATATACTTCAGACGCAATTTTGCAGTTTACAATTAGAAAACTTGGATGAAGTTATAAAATCAGCTAGGATTGACACCCAGTGAAGGTTAATTGGAA